ACAATTTTCCTAATTTTAATGTTTTACGTGCGGTAGATAAAAAGTGTAATTTTTTAAAATTTTCATTAACATTCTTAATTTTGTGAAAAACACTTTTCTTTAGCTTCAAAAAGATTAAAAGATTAAATTATATTTTATTTGGTAAACTTTTTTATTTATAATTTTTATCATTCCTTTTTTTAAATTTCATAAACAATCATAATTACCATGGATTATGTGCAATGTAAACATTAAAAATATTATAACATATATTATTGAAAAAGCAATATTATGAACAGATTTTCCCTCAGAATCGTTTTTTCCTTTTTTATTTGTAACCTTCAAATGTAAATTTAATCTTCATCTGTATCCTACTTTACTAACTTCCCTACAACATAACTGCACCTTAGTGCAAAGTATGTCCGTACTGTTTTTATTGCAACATTTTGTTCGTTGTGTCATATTACAAATAAAACAATTAAAATTGTACTATTATCAACAATTATATCCACCTTATTGAATAGCATCACTTAAAATTCGGTTTTCGGATATTTTTTAGCAGAAAAAGTAATTAATTTTGTTGATTTATTAATTACCCTGGTAACACGGATGAAAAAGAAAATGTGGTAAATGTACACTATAATATTTTGTTAATTATTCTTTTGGGTCAGGTAACTTCAGACAAGTCATCTCGTAAAGGATAATATAATGCAATATACTCGAATTTTATAACTCTGTAACAACTAAATAAAAAGCCATACATTTTTTAAGCTTATAACAATACCGTATGGCATAGCATAGATATAATTTTTTCGCTAAACTTGTTTGTAGAACCCTAGTTGCCAATTTATTTGATATTATAATCTATTTACCTATAACACGATAATTATCACATTATCAATTTTTATTTGCATACAATAAAGTCTTGAGTTCGACACGAAATACCAGCACGGTATCTAATCGATTACTAATATTATTTAAATTATATTTCTGGAACATGTTTTCAGCATAACCGAAATTTGAAGATTCCACATACAGCCACTGTTTTAGGTGAGTAGTCGGGAAGGTAGGACACATGTAGAGTTATTTAATCGATATAATACAGGGGTACGCTAATATCGTTGCCATAAAATACAAATCTATGCGAAGTTTTGTGTGAATCACGTTTTGAAATATCGTGCATTTTACGGTTATTATTTAAATTTCAACTTTATTCCTGTATACAAAAAACATAATAAATACGCTTAAATTATGACAAACAAAAACATAGGGTTTTGGCCAAAAAAACTGTACACATTTTAATAATGTTAGTAATGTTTTTATTTAATAATATTAATTTTCCTGTAGGGGGTTTAAGTTTATTTTTTGATCGTTTTATATTAACATTTGATACATGTTTTTTTTTTTTTATGTCTTTAAATAAAAAATATTGTCTTTCCAATTTACGGTTTTATTCAATTTTTAATTTACTTCTTTACTACTAATTTTGTTTTTATTCCAGCTATAAATACTACCTAATTAGAAACATCAAACCATAATATAAATAAATTTTGGTCATTTTTCCATCGCCTTCGAGGCTCGTGTCATTAATAGTTAATATTTGGTATGCATATTGTAAATTTTTTCAACAAAGATCTATTTGTACGTTATAAACCAATTTTCATATTTTTTATTTGAAAAACCAGACTGGATCAAATTAAAATTTTAGTTTTATTAACTATGTTTCTGCAGTAACTTATGCGTGTTTAAAAGCAAACTGCTCCCAAAATGTTTTCACAAATAAACAAAGTTAAACTTAAAAATATTACATTTTAGAAGTTAACCAGCAGTGGTATACTGGTGTTATACTTCTTCGTATTTCAAATGCATAGACAAAAAACACGATACAAAATATTCAATATGTTAAATTAATAGTTTATTTATTAATTAACAAACAACAAATTAAACATTTTTCATTCCGATGTTGTAGGAATGGAATATGAGCTGTACTGTTTCTATAACGGAAAGTTCAGCTCATCAACGATTGCGGGGGTTTGTATTGAAGAGTTTGAACGAAGTGGTCGGCGATTAGTATGCCTTGTACGGGGCTGGTNTGCTGGGTAAGCTGGTGCTGGGTATGCGGGTGCTGAGTAGGCCGGTTTGTAGGCTGGGGCGGCTTTGTAAGCCGGGGCGGAGTAAGACGGGGTGCCTTCCTTCTTGACCTCGGCGTTGAAACCGTAGTCGTCAGCGGTGTATTCGACGATCCTCTTGGTGCCGTCGGCTTCGATCAGGCTGTAGTATCCCTTGACGGTCTTTCCGTCGCTGTATTCCGATTGGCTCTTGACGTCGTAGGTGGACGGGTCGTTGACGCTGTATTCGAAGCTGTACGGGGCCGGGGCGTAAGCGGGTTCCGGGGCGTAGGCCTTTGGTGCGGAGTAAGCCGGTGCTGGGTAAGCTGGGGCGGCGTATTGGGCGACGGCGGCGGCCACGCAGGCGGCGAGAATGATCATCTGAAATGCACGGTTATGTAAGACAAAGTGTTGTTGGTAAGGTTATTAAAAAAGAATTTTCCAAATTCAAGTCGTATGACTAAAACAGAAACATTCTGCATTTGTCATCTGGTCAAATCAGAAATAATAAATTTTGAAAAAAATAGTTTGATATTATTCGTATGGTTTGTTAGAAAATAATAAAAATAAAACGATCTTTTATCGGCACATCTTGTTTGATTATTGTTAGTCACGTGCAATGATCATCTGAAATGCACGCTAATGTTAGAGAAGGTTATTGGCAAGGTTATAAACAACGAATGGTTAAAAATAAAAGGGTATGACTAAGACAGAATTCCTTTGAGAGCGGAGACTTTATGTACCGGTTCAATCAGAAATAATACATTTATAAATATTGATTTATATTATCTTAAAGTTTTGTTAGTAAAAAATATAAAATAAAGTAATTGGTTTTCGGCCGAACGTATTGGACTATAGTTAGTCACGTGTGCGTTAAACGTAATAGTCGAATCGTCAAACATTATGTACCTTGGCGGCCATTTTATTCGTAGTTTTTGAACTGTGTTCTAGTGATGATGAAGAGTAATTGTTGGTGTGTTTGGTACTGGTAACGCATGCTCGTAATCCGTCGTATTTATGTCGATCGACCACGGTTCGCCGTTTAAAATCCCTTCCATAATGCTAAGCTCGCTAATCGAAAAGTACGTGATATTCCAGTTTTATCATATTTGTTGAATCAGAACCGGTCATTCACTATTATTATTATTATTATTATTATTATTATTGTAATAATTCTTCTGGTGAATTACAGCGGTTACCGCCCTAAATAATCCTTTCAAATCAATCCATATACATTATTTCCATGCATATTTATTATACATGTAATGATATATAAATTATTATGTCATTATTTATGTTTTTGAAATAAAACTTTTTTTATACAATTTTTATTCATGGTGTAAATAGATACATATAAATTTATTATCATATTTTAAATGGAAATAAAAACAAACAAATGAATTATATTCAAATTATCTACTCAACTACGATTACATAATAGACCAATTTTGACCACACATCACAACCTACTTGTTATTACTTATCATTTTTTTTTAGTTATTTTCGATAATTTATGTGATGACCTACCTGTGTTGGTATGACACATCAAAGGCCCTTGGAGCATATTTTTAATGTACATTTTTATTAAAAAAGCCGCGAATATCAGTGCGATATTGTGTGTGAAGTCATGATCTATACGAGCACTTAATATTCTGTACAAAAATGTAAATCCACATTTTAAGTAACACGAACTTACGCAAGAATTTCTATAGACGACAATAGACCTTATTCTAATTAATTTTAAATCCAGTCAGTGCATAAGAGGAATCACTTTTGATTTTTCAAAATATATCCAAAATGAAAGATAAATCTCAAAATTAGAATTATAATAATCAAAAAATTACTTATGGAACGATACAGGGTTAGCGATTAAATTGTTTTTAAGTTATACGCAATGTATTGAACAGAAATGCTTGAAAGTTTAAAGGGTAATTCATTTTAAGTTGTACTGAATTGTCAGAAAAAAATAAGAGTAGCGTGTTGTAGACATTTTTTTTTTTTTTTTTTTTTTTGTAATGCTTGNAACATTATAATTAATTTGAAAATCGTATAGTTTACGATCTTTCAAATTGTGTATAAAAAAAATTCACTCAGTACCATTAAACGTGTTTCACCATTGCCTACTGATAAAAATAAAATTATGTATCCTTTGTTCCTTATTTCCCCTCTACGACGATGGTGTACTCCCCATCTGTACAAACAGCTCTTTTTTTTTTTTTCATCCAAAGTGTTTCACATTTTTCATACACAATAAGGAGTATAAGTGGGTCGATAAATTTTACAACGAGCATGATTTTTTAAAGAAAAGTTTATACGTATATTTTTTTTTTTTCTGTTCATTTGAATACACGGGAAAACATTTGAATCAGGATCAGTATAGCTTGTGGTGAGAGTACGGGGTGTAAGACGAATGGACCACGGGTTCGTGATGGTACTCGTGTTCGTCGTGGTGATGGTAGGCCGGTTCGATTTTCTTCACTTTGGCCACGAAACCGTGTTCGTGGTCGGCCGTGTACTCGACCACTCGGGTAGAACCGTCGGGTTCCACCAGACTGTACGAGCCTTTGACGTTTCCGTGTCCGTCGCTCACTTCGTGTTGGCTCTTGATATCGTGTGTGTGCGGGTCGTGTACGCCGTACTCGAAGTTGTACGGGGTGGGTTCGTGGGCGTAGTTGTGGTGATCGTAGTTACTGCTGTAGTGCGGCGGGTAGGCGAACACCAACTGGCAACACAGCGCGGCGAATATGATCATCTGTGAAATAAAAAAGAATTATGCATATTGTGTACAGACGAAAACCGTGTGGAGTATCTAGTCGGGTATATGACAGAAAATGATTTGCGATTGGGTTAGTGATGTGAGGACGTTCGTAGTTTACGAGGACTGTATAGGACAATTGATAGTGGGCAGCAGGAATGAGATTATTTGCTACTTCACCCGCGCAATGGTATAAAAGCAAAGGAAAATGAGACGAAGAAGTATAACACGTAGACGTATATCGCGTATAAACAGACTAAAACTACTTTGAATATGTTTTATACCTTTTGGGTGTGAGTATTTCCAGTAAAGGGTATTTGTAAAAGAAAATGCCAACTAAGATATTTTCACCGAACGTTTAAACAAAAAGACTTAATAAAAAAAAATTGATAAAACACTCAGTTAATTTGTGTAGAATCTTATTTTCAATAGTATTAAAAAAAAAAAAAAAAACATATTATTACTTGCACTTTTGCTTCTTTCTTTTCGATAGTTATATTATTAGTAAGACAAGATAAATATACTGTTAAAATAAACCATAATTCGGAGTAAACGACAACAATATGATACAATATTTCGTAAGGTTAAGTCAATTTAAATTTGTTGTTACTATGATGGTAAGTTTTTTTTTTATTAAATAAATTACTGTTTGTTATATAGATTTTAAAATGCTTACCTTTATTGCCATTTTCAAAATATGTAGCTACGTGGAACTAACTAAATGTATACAAAATATACTTGTAGTTAATTATTTGTGTTTATACAAAAAGCGAAATGTATGTGATGAATATCCGATCTTGGGCTACGGTATTTATACGATAGATACCTACGCCAGATTCCCTCCTATTTTATGTTTTTCCACGATACTGATTCTGCTCATCCGAGCCCTATACAATAAATATACGTTACGTCAGTTAATTAAAAAAAAAAAAAAAAACATGAAATCCTAATTTTCATTATTCTGCGTACAAATCATTACAATCGTATACAAAATAAACGTAATATTATGCAATGTATGTACAATGTATAGTTCAGGAGTCGGCAATTAGTGTCTAAGAGGGGCCAGATAAAATAAAAATAAAGATCAACTAATTGTTAACTCTATTATTTGGGTGTTCCGTATTATTAAACACTTCCAAAAAAAAACAACAATAATTTCTATCGTAATCACCAAACACGTCATAAATATAGACTACGCTATTCTGTATTTGCAAAGAGACACGTAGTGAAAACGAAAACCAGCGTTAAAGTAAAAACATTTTGGCGAGCCATTTATTTCTTCTCTTCGAGCCAGTATTGACCTGCGGACCATCTATTGTAAACCCTTAGTGTAATTATTGTTTCTATCACATTAATTCGAAATATTCAAATAGCTTACGACTATCCTAAAAATCGATTAATATTTTGAAAATAATAAATAACATGTTTCTAAACAAACAGCTTAAAATAATAGGGATGGCGGATTTGATACCGAGGTCATATTTGGTATCCGATATCCGATGACTGTCGGAGTCACGGTAAATAGGTTACATTTTTAAATGCAATTGTTAACTTTGAGTTTCTAAAAATATGCTTAGAACACCTTATGGCGTTTATAAGATCGGTTTTAACTTTCAAAAACGGCTGTTGATTTAGTTGATAAGGAGTTACGTGATTTTCGTAATTTAGATTCGGAGCAATGTATTATCGTTGCATACAAATAAAAATGAAATAACCTTACGTATCCTACCTTCCCAACTACTCACCAACAACAGTGGCCGCTCCCGTCCCTAGTATCGGCTTTTTTTCTCTATAATTATGTATCCTACTAGATATGTCCCGTCCGACGTTGCCCGTGCCAAAAGTAATAATAAACAAAATACAAATTATCGGAATACGCTATTACTACAGTTTTTTTTTTTTTTGACCAAGGCAACCGTTACATAAACAAAAATAACTAGATTTTTGTACTAATAAAAATATCTCAAATCCGAACTGTATGAGATGGTATTCAATATAGGGGGGGGGGTATAACAATAATAATAATTATGAATTTATGAATAATTATAGTGATTATAATAAGGGAGTGGAGTTCAATAGCTACGAATCTTCTCCGGACAACGTGGAACATTTTGTTGTGAACCACGTTCAAATCGCTCCAGTAGATCCTGAGTCTATTGATCGTGTATAGATAGATGTTCATTCGTGTACATATATACTTCATAGATAATGGGCATTAATTTAAATACGAGAAGATTAAATATAAATTCAAATTAGGTTATACAAAAAAAAAAAAAAAAAAAAAATCGTTAAATCTGCTTGTATTCTACCTATATTGTGTCTTCTCTTTCGAATGTATTCTTAATGCAATATCCATTATTATAAACTGTACTGTACTATATCCTCGCGGCGTTGATATACGCATAAATAAATACAAGGGTTCGCCATTGTTTTAGGTGAAATGTTGGAAAAGTAAGATAGATACACAGGGTTATTTAATGATATTTGTGAACACGCAACGATTAATCGTTGCTATTGAAATACAATTTTATGCGAAGTTCAATTATACGTGTTTTGAATTAATGTGGTGCTTTTTACGATTTTTGAAGAAATTTGAATATAAAGAAAAAAAAAATTGCTTTACACAATTAGATTACGTAGTACAAAAACACTTTAAATTGTAGTACAATCAAACAATTATAGACACAAGCATAACATATCACACCAAAACATTTTTATTTTCTGTGAAATAAGTATAACTTGGTTTATTTTTGAGCTTGCCCTTTATTTGCTTTTTGGAAATATTTTTTTATTTTTTTTTTTTTTTTTTGAAGTTGAGATCATTTTAACTATAGGACATCTAGTAAATCTATTTTTAAAGAAGTAAAACTAAATTTAAAATACTTTAAAGTTATGCCTAACATATTTGGATATCATGTTACTTTTCGTGATTTATATAATAACTAGTTATACTTTTAGATGTCGTTTACCGAGAAATCGTATTAATTTACTTAGGTTTTAATAGAATCACTTCTTGATATTATTAGTTTTTTGAACGATATTTAAAATTTTAGATTTGTATTGGTTTTACAATAATGCTGATTATTTTTCTGTTTAAAACTTTTATATCAGCAATTTTACTCCAATTAACAATAAAGCACTTTTTCTGAAAGAAAGTCATACTGAAGAGGTATGTTAGGGAAGTCAATTTTTTTTTTGATGGGAAAACTATAGAAAACCATTGGAACACCGAGAAAAAATTCTCAACCGAAATCCGCGCACAGGAGTTTTTTTATGAGCAATAGTTAATCGTTGCATAAAGACATACATTAAATTTCCCCTTTACTAACTTTTTAACTTCTTACCTACAATAGTGACCGATCCACGTGGGAAGTATAACTGTCGTTTTTTTACATTTTATACTATTCTTTTCGCTGTAGTGAATATCAAAACTTATTATTTGATAATTTTTACTAACATTGTTTTTTAATAAATATATATACATATTCTTTTAAGTATATTTAATTAAAATTAATTATGATTTGTTGTAATGTTTATGTTTTAATTAATTATTTTACTTTTATCTTGATTCCGACTATAAATACCACTAAATTGTAGTAAAATGGAATTTAGGGATTTGCGATTTAGTTTAATCCCGTTAAATTGAATTGAGAATATTAACTAATGAGCATTGTACGGTCAACCAATTACACGAACCATATTATACGAGTTGATCCATAATAGGACGGCATGTAGGTCAACCAACATCCTTGAATGGTACGATATGTTACAAGTAATTTAATTTCGTAAAAATATACTATTTCTACATATGTTTTATTATTAATAGAGTGAAAACACAGAGTATAAGTAAATTTTAAATAAAATTTAAAATAATAGAGGTAAAACATATTACGACATAAGACTATTGAGAGACGACGTTCAGCGATCAGATTATATCACGTCGATAGCTTTATAAAACCTTTTATGTGGAGTAGATGCATAAAAAAAGAAAAAAAAAGTGGTGTACTTGTATATGACTTTGAGTGAAGAGACAAACAAATAAACACGACACAAAATATTCAATATGTTAAATTAATAATTTATTTATTAATTAACAAACAATAAATTAAACATTTTTCATTCCGATGTTGTAGGAATGGAATAAGAGCTGTGATGTTTCTATAACGGAAAGTTCAGCTCATCAACGATTGCGGGGTATTGTATTGAAGAATTTGAACGAAGTGGTCGGCGATTAGTATGCCTTGTACGGGGCTGGTTTGTAGGCGGGTGCCGAGTAAGCGGGTGCCGGGTAAGCTGGTGCTGGGTATGCGGGTGCTGAGTATGCGGGCGCTGAGTAGGCCGGTTTGTAGGCTGGGGCGGCTTTGTAAGCCGGGGCGGAGTAAGACGGGGTNCCGATTGGCTCTTGACGTCGTAGGTGGACGGGTCGTTGACGCTGTATTCGAAGCTGTACGGGGCCGGGGCGTAAGCGGGTTCCGGGGCGTAGGCCTTTGGTGCGGAGTAAGCCGGTGCTGGGTAAGCCGGGGCGGCGTATTGGGCGACGGCGGCGGCCACGCAGGCGGCGAGAATGATCATCTGAAATGCACGGTTAGGTTAGACAGGGTAAGGTTATAAACAACACATTTTTAAATATAAAACGGTATGACTAAAACAGAAGTAATCCGTTGAGACCGGAGATTTCGTCCTCCGGTTCAATCGGGAATAATAAATGTATAAAAACGTATTGGTATTATCTCAAAAATACGAAACGAAATAATCGGTTTTCGGCAAAACATATTCGATTATTGTTCGTCGCGTGCGAGTAAAGCACAATGTTTGATCCTTAAAATAATATATACCTTGGCGGCCATTTTATTTTGAGTTTTTGAACTGTGTTCCGGAGATACGGGAGTGACGGGTAGTTGTCGGTATGTTCGGTACTGGTACCTATTGCCCGTCACCCGTCGTATTTATGTCGATCGGTCAGGTTATGCCGTTTTACATCCCTTCCATAAATGTTAAACTCGTAAATCGAAAACTACGTGACATTGCAGTTTTATCATATTTGTTGTGCCAGAACCGGTTGTTTTATATTAGTGTTACCCATTATTACCGTACTTCGTTTGGCGTATTCGCTCGGTTACCGCCCTCTTTGCTAAACAATCCTTTCCAATCAATACATATGCATCATACATGTACACGGATTATTATAATACGTGCAAACACGTGCCGATCTACAGGAGCATATTTAATATATTGTACACAAATACTTAAACCGCGTTTAACGTTATCTGAAATGAAACGGGTTAACTCGAGAATATTGTCACAACCTAAAAAAATACACTGTACCCAGAAATAAATACCTACAAATGGAAAATGTCTCAACAATCTTCCACATAGTGGTTTACTTAATATGGTAATTATTATTACATCATCAAACAAACAAATCGATTCTAACCACGCGTAACATTTAACTTACTCGGTAGTTTAAATTATTTTGACTACTCGTTTTGACAATTCATCCGTTCATGTCGGTGCGGCATACCAAAGACCCCAGGAACACTATGTTTTTAAAGGCATCATACGTGAAATTAAACTTCGACAATAATTTTGGATATTGGGTATAAAGTCGGATTTGTCGATCAATAATATTTCTTGAAATAAAAATAAATTATGCATCGACGATCGTTGACGTATTGTAATATAAACTACGTCCACGAAAGCGACTTTCGATGCCATTTTAATTTACTGTTATTTGTGTACAAATTTACCATTTATTTAATTAATAACATTAAATTATTTTATTTTTACTACAGTATAAACTCATGTTAAAAAAAATACTAATTATATTTACAATTTTAACCTCTTCATAAAAGACATTTGGTAGTTAATTTATAATATTTCATAAATCTTGGGACCCGAAGTGACCCCAGACAAATATTGCCGGGGGAATTGGTTGGCCGTCACCGTAACTCAACTAAATGGTATTAGCTAAAAATACAGTAGCACTACTGTGTACGGTACTTGGGCACCACCAATTATAACAATTATCTATATGGACGTGCTGATCCGTATGAGCACTTTAAATAACGCGTAAAAAAAAATATTATACCGATAAGTAGGTATAAACAGGTAAATTATTTTTACAGCGAATGTTATATTAATTTAAAGGAGTGATTTTTTTTTTTTTTTTAGCGGTGTACTCCAAAACACATTTGAAACGGGAATAATACGGTTTGTGATTGGTTCGAATGTTTGGTGTTTGATGAATACACCGCGGGCTCGGGATGATAGGCCAGTTCGATTTACTCAATTTCCATATTGCTATACAATTTCATTATTTATTTCTGAGTTTTCACAACAGCTTCTCTAATGTTCTCTATCTATGACCAAGATCATCCAGTCTTGTTCATCTCCTATATGTCCCACATCATTTTTAGCAATCATTCCTCAGAGCACTGCACTGAGTAGTGGATTTTAATTCCTCCTATTTTTCAATGGCCACGTTTTTTTCGTCATACATTGTTGCGATTTGGTTTTCTTTCGCCTCGACTGTCCGATCATATTTTATTGGTCCAAAATTTTTCCTTTCGGGTGTATAGAAAAAGCAAAACATACATGAAAACAATAATATTTTTTTGGTATGTAATACAGATTTATTGCTTTATGGTATTATTTTACATTTTTACAACGATAACGATATTTTACATAGATTTTTTGTTTTTTTAAACTGAACGCTGGAGACGATATAGAAAACGGAATTAGTACTGTTTGTTGTGCGAGTAGGGGGTGTAGGACGAATGGACCGCGGGTTCGTGATGGTACGCGTGTTCGTCGTGGTGATGGTAGGCCGGTTCGATTTTCTTCACTTTGGCCACGAAACCGTGTTCGTGGTCGGCCGTGTACTCGACCACTCGGGTAGAACCGTCGGGTTCCACCAGACTGTACGAGCCTTTGACGTTTCCGTGTCCGTCGCTCACTTCGTGTTGGCTCTTGANCGTAAGCTTCGTCGTGGTGTAAGCTTCGTCGTGGTGATCGTCATGGCTGCTGTAGTGCTGTGGCGGATAGGCGAATACCAATTGACAGCACAGCGCGGCGAACACGATCGTCTGCGAAATTAAAAAGAATTATGCATATTGTGTACAGACGAAAATCGGACAGAGTAGTCGGGTATGTGAAAATAAAAGGATTCGCGAATGAAAGTAAGGAATACGGAGAGTATTTGAGTAGGCAAGTGTTGGATAGAACAATGCAACGAAAGGCTGCCAGAACGAGAGTATCTGCGACCCTACATGCTTGAAGGTGTAAAGACAAAGGAGCATGAGAAACGTTTATGTCGTATAAACCGGTCAAATTTACTATTTATAAACTATTGTGCACATTTCCAGAGTTAACAAAAACAAATGTCTCTAATACGAAATTTCTCCCATACGAAATATTTTTCTGTTGATATTTTTATAGGGAACCGATGAAAAGTGACTGTGCACGCACATATGGAATAGAATCGCTCGGTTATTTGCGTAGAATCATAATGTCACTATTATTTAGAGATAAATAAATTTTACGTCGGGCATTGACTATTTTTAACGCGTTAAAAGTAGTATACTCTACAGGTGAGTTTTAAAACACTGTTACAATAAAATTCTAATCAACGACGATAATGATAACAATAGTGTTGTCTGTACAGTATATTTAATTTGTTTTTTGCTAAAAAAATTGAAAAATGCTATTTTATCTATTAAAAATTACTAAGAACCTTTATGGCCATTTTGAAAATGCGTACGTAGAATCAACTAGATATATGCAAAATATGATGGTAGTTAATATTAACGTTTACACAAATAGCGAAAAGAGACTGATGGATATACAGTACTTGGACTGCGGTATTTGTACATTTACACCTGAATCCCTCCTATACGGTCGTTTTTTGCGGTACTAATTACTTATCTTTGGTCTAAATATGCGTTACGTCAGTTAATTAAAAAACTAATAATAATAATAATAAATCCTAATTTTCATATTTCTGTGTAACGAAGAAAATTAATTATCAAACACATATCGCTTTAATTTACGTAATACGTGTGCTATTTATTTATTTTTTTGGTTGCATAAATTTTGATGTTTTCGGTATCGAAATGGAATCGAACAAAATTATTTTTTGTAAAAATCGAATAGAAAAAAAAAAAAATGTGCGAGTATAATATATAATTTTGAACCGATATTAATTTTTCCGATACACGATAACTCGAAAGTTGTTATCGATATAAAAATTGATAACCGATGTCGGATATTCGCATTTCGCAAAACCGTGATATCGGTTTAGTTAGGTTAGGCTAGGTTAACACGTTTTTAATGTGTCAAAGATATTAGACGTACTCCACGTCGAAAATACGAGACCAAATATCGGATTTTTTTAAAAAAAACCCGATATCTGATAATCCGATATCCTTAACATTATTGGCCGATTTACAATATCGGTTTATATCGATCCGCACCAACACTTACAATCGTGTACCCTTTTGTCATGCAATTTCGTTCCATAATAAAAGCGTGTTTTAATGTTTTTCGTTCCGAAGTGTGTCACTACATATGACGTGTGACTCATAAGAATGTCCGTACCAATGAGTTTTGAATAATTCCTATAACGGTTGTTCGATTTGATTCGAGTTGTAATTATTTAAAGTATACAAATCTTGCCCCAAACAAAAAACTATTTTTTTTAAATTTTTTTTTGTAACTTAGGACGTAGTTAATGATTTGGCTTATGTGCTGATTTCCCGGGGGTTTTTCTTAATAATCGGGATAAACCGAAAAAAAATAAAAGCGGACAAATATACGGTTTTTGCAATTGCGTTATTTTTAATTTTTACCAATTTTCTTTTCTATCGGAAACATTTTTCCGAATTGCAATACGGTAACAGCTTTTTAACCGAACTCCGCTCAGAATCGGTTTTTCGTTAGCAATGGTTAATCATTGATACAAATTGAATAAATAATTATTCAGTTATCATCGTACGATTTTCCGAGTTCCGATCTAAAACAATGGCACAACCGTATTTTTTTTTTTATTTTTGGAACATACCGACTAGCGAGGAATGTATTAGTTTTACAATGATGTTGATTAATATTATTTTTTATTTGTGAACAACTTTTCTATCAAAAATCTTGCTCTAATTTTCAAGTGTAGTATCTTTTCTTAGCGTAAATATTTTCTGGGTGATACAAGGTATTTTTTTATTTCCCAAGTGGTTTTTCATTATAATCGGGAAAAAACGGGAAATTTACGTACCTGTATAAAATAAACTTCGTTCCGAAAAGTTTTTCGTCAGCAATGGTCTATCGTTGCGTACAGATATGATTTAAACCCCCCTCTATATCCTGCCTTCCCGACTTCTCACATACAACAGTATCCCACTTATCGTGCGAAGTATTTCCGTATTTTTATAATATATTAATTATGCATACAATAGAGATGATAGATTAAGATCATTAAACTAAAACGCATTCCCGTAGACGTTGGAAACTGAGTAATTGTACAAATATTTTAATAAAAATTATAACGCAAATCGTATAGAGGTTAGGTGTACCGTAATATAAGAAAAAGTACTACGCCTGTTTAATTTTAAAATAATGTAGCGACGCGTGTCAAACGTAAGTTTCATTCGATAACACTCAAAACCGTAACTATAAAAAAACGTTGATATTATTTTGGTTAAAAATCGGTATAACTTTACGATTAGTATCCGTCATTATAACATAATATGGATTATAAATGTTACGAATTGATTCATTATCAGGCGTAGACCTAAAACAATTCAAGTCCGTTACCCAGACCTCGTAGTATAACATGCAAATAGGAAAGATTGAAGTATATTGAAATACAATTAAATCCGATTATTGCAACGACGTTCAATAATTCATAATCAGTGTTCGCGTTTGAAGACAAAAGCTTTTTTTTTATTTTAATAATGATAAAAAAATAATTTTTATATAAAAACGCGTTTCATTTAATACCTGGCTAAGATCATGAGATATTTCTTTTGGATTTTTTTTTACTTATAAATGCCTTTTTGCTTTTTTGTGTTTGATTTTCAATTGATCCATGTACAGTTTTATATCCGTATAAATAGTACAAACGGATAAGAGCTGGCGAAAACGACGCATTATCGATATTGTGTTTAAAATTTTTTTAATGGGTTTTTATTACCGATGATATTTATCAATATCGCTAAATACTTTATCCAGTATTTGGCATGGCAAGTTAATTTAACGTTTATAAAAGATCATTTACTGTGTACACAAATATTTTAAGTCCGAACCGTCAAAGTTTTCCAAAAGAATTTATATGTAAATATACGTCATTTAATTTTGTTTATAATACGAACTAGTACAATTTTACATAAACATATTATATTTTACAATTGCATTTTTATGTAAATTAAATTTCTTTTTTTTTCACCTTTTTTCGCATTTTCAGTGATTTTTTTTTTTGTTATTGTTCATATTGCCATTCAATCCGACCTGTATTCATAACAATAATCACGAACGAACGTATGAAAATACCTATAGAGTTGTGATACATTATGAAGAACTAAAGTGAAAGTTCTTCCATTTAATAGGGTAAACAAATAATATTCAAACGACAAAATTTATGTCGGTATAGTTTTTATTCAACAAGAAAATAAATCATACACGTTGAGACGGTATTATAGGACAGTCAGAGCCGATCTCTAAAACGAAATCAAATAAGCTCAACGAAGAAACGGTGAAACGGACGGATTTCGAATTAGTACGCCTTGTACGGGGCTGGTTTGTAGGCCGGTGCGGGGTACGACGGGGCTGGGTAGGAAGCTGGTTTGTAGGCCGGGGCCGGTGCGCTGTACCCCTTGTATCCTCCTTCGATTTTCTTGACTTCGGCGTTGAAACCGTTGTAGTCGTCGGCGGTGTACTCGACGACGCGGACGGAACCGTCGGGTTCGACCAGGCTGTAGGTGCCCTTGACGTAGCCGTTACCGTCGCCGGACTCGGATTGGCTGTGCACGTCGTAGGTGGACGGGTCGTTGACGGCGTACTCGAAGCTGTACGGGGCCGGGGCGTACGCGGGCTCCGGGGCGTAAGCCTTGGGTGCCGAGTAAGCGGGCGCCGGGTAAGCCGGGAGGGCGAGTGTGGTGGCCACGCAGGCGGCGAAAATGATCATCTGAAATCGAAAATAAATATCGGTTGATATAATAAAAAGAAAAACGAAACGAAATAATTTATATAGTACGGATAAAAAAGGTTCGACAGTACGACAGCGATTGAAGTTATAAAAAAAACTAATATACCTTGGCGGCCATTTTTATATTTGGGTTTTCGACTGTTTGGCTGTAGAGTCCTTTGTATTGCTAAAGTCGGCGACTTAATGGTACGGATCTCTTGTAATTCACCGTATTTATATCGCTCGATATTGCGTTGCTATCCCGTCCCTCCCAACGAATCACTACCATTGTTGCGTTTGTTACAGTCCTAATAACCGAACCGGTTCGGAACGTTCGTTTCATAATTTTGTTTATTATTCAATTAATAGCAACGAATACCGCCCGTGTATTAAATATTATCCGTTCCGTTTGAAACGCCGTAATTCGTGCCATTTATGTCAAAATTTAATCTTGAAACGTTTATAAAAAAACACTACTACGTATGTCTACTACTACTATTACCGATACTAGGAATCATTCTCCGATTTTCAATTGCAGCGCATTGTCTGAAAGTAAATCGGTGTGCGTGAAAAACCGGGAAAAACTTAGGAAAAACTAAAAAATCGGTACACCACTAAACCAATATTATTAAAGAAAATATTTAATGTTTTATATTTAATTACTTTACTATATTATGATACATATATATTATTGACAAATAATCACTATCAACTGAACTCCGCTCGGAATTGTTTTTTCGTCAGCAATGGTGTGTATAGTTGCTTACAGATGTACATTCAATTTACTATGATAGTGATTGCACGCATCTCCATTGTTATTACGACAAGCGATGATCATCAAGTTAATAAATAAATAAAAAAAAAAAAAAAAATAGGTTAATAAATTAGAATTTTACGCTTATAAAGTGTTTTTACGTCTAAATTACAAATACATGACTAATATGCATGATTGGTTATATTAATGTTTGTATTTTGTTTTATTTTTAATCGAAGGTAGGTATCGAGAATCGAGTATCGATTGTATCGGAACGAAACGATACGTACTTAATATTTAATATGCCTTCATCTTTATGACCTTTTTATACACTACGCTTTTGTGAAATGGCACATCGAAAACCGTTACGAGCCGATTGATAATGTAGTGGACGTCAAATAAAAAAAAAATCGTACGACGATAATCCAAAATAACACGTTTTTAAGGATATTATTTAATAATAGAAATAAAATCCAAAATTAATATTTCATATTTGTAATTGTATTAGGATTCGGATTTTAGCGAATGTGTTTTACGTTTTACCAAAATTTGTTTTTTTTCGATCAGTAAACATTTTTCAATTGGTTCAAATCATTCGTTAAAGGATGCGGATTTTTTCGCTCGGGTGGTACTTTATTCTTTCATTTTGTCGAGACTACTAATGGTTTTCTAAAAAAACGACGGTAAACGACGATACGCCTCGGTGTTATTTTTGTTGCTTTCTGAATAACCGTGAACTATGCACGAGCGGAAAACACAGCTGATGGTGTGCCGTTCCCGTTTATCGTGTTTCGCATTCTATTGTTGCATTCAGTACGTAAACTAAACTAACTCATGCACCTTCGCCTACTACATTGATGGGCAGGACCCGTTTGGACCGATCGGGATCTATAGAGTTCGGATTAGCGTTTTCTTTTACATTTAAACCACCTAAAGGCTGTGTTTTGGCACGACGAAGACTACTGCTTTATAAAAATATCAACGTATTTTTAAAAATAATTTGTAAATTTAATTCGTTGAATGCGTACGAATGTACACACATTTAATATGTTAAACATGCGGCCTAAAAGATAGAGATATCAACGAAAATGCAGACAATTATATTATTTATTTAAACAAATAACCTTACCTTGATTACGCAGATATCTATTATGTACAGGTATAGTCGGCACAGGTATATATTTGATAAAACCGTATTTTTCGGTCGGATTCGAAATTGAACTGACACGCGGAAATTGTGCGTGAACCTAAATAATTTACTTAATCGCTCTATTCGCAGATTGGTTTTATAGTAATTCATGTGTATAAATTACGAGTACACGTTTGTTCCAAACGGATCGCAGTTTTATTAGTGGCCCAAACGCGATTTGCCCGCATTGGCTCTACAGTGCGATGAACGTCCGGACTTTTACACAATTATAGCAGTCTTGGCGACGAAATACATAGCCGGATGTCCATACCACTGAACAACTCGTCAATTACGTGTCCAAATGTCCCGTTCGACAATATTATTTTATGAATTACTAAACAGTTACAAAAGTACGGTATTTCGTTCAAAGTAAATCCGGCCGTATAATACCCGATAGTGGTTTGTCAGTTTTCTAAATGTTGCCAATATAAAATATTTCCTTTGACTGGTATTCAGGTTTATGAATAAAACTTTTCGTGAATCTTGTGAATTATCGGGGGAAAAAACTGCGTTTTTAAAAACCATTGCTGTTGCCATTATTATTTTTTTCTTTGAGTGATCAACTATTATAATGACCATAGGCGTTATAATTAGTTTTTTTCGTTGTATCTTCAAACACCTTTCATCGAAATATTCCCTTTTAAAATTTTAAAAAAAAAAAACAAATATTCTTATTATTATGCCATTTAATTAAAACTGTAATAATTGGTTTTAAGTTTCTTAGTGAACGGAAAATTTACCTTCAATTTACCTATAATGTTAAACAAATTCCAAGATGAGTGAAACGTGAGACGAACATTTTTTTTTTTTTTTGAAATAAAAAAAGTAAAAACAAAATTATTAAAATGTTTAATACTCGTAAATAAATATGCAAATAAAAAATGTATACAGAGAAAAAAATAATTTTACATAAAGAAATAAAAAATGAAAAAAATCAATGAATGCGAGTATGCCTGGAGTATTATGATAAATTTATAAATGTTAGTCGGTTTTCACATTTTGACTGTGATATACCTGATGATGACTTTTGAATTCGAAACCGGTCTTTTAATACACGCATCACAATACTCCAGGCGACGCATTCATTAATTTTTTCAATTTTTATTATATTTATTTCCATACATAAAATGTTTTATTTCTATGCATACATTTTTTTTATTTTTATATTTATTTACTATATTTTGTTTTCGGTATAATAACTGCTAGCCATCATTCACCATAAGTTTATGTATTTTCTAGAAATCCTGGGTATTCGTAAAATTTAGTGGCACACTTAAAACTTTTTATGATTTTAAGTAATAAATCTCAAAAAAAAAAAAAAACATAACGTATAAAACAAGAACAATTTTTGGTATATAACATTCAATACATAATTATTTCTTCCCGACCTAACGACTATCCGGCAGTCTTATAACAGTCCCAAGGTAACGTTTTCCATCTTCCTTTAAAGTAATACAATTTTTTTTCCAACATTATAATTTATTACATTGTGTTAATACATTATTTTAATAAAATATTTTTGTTATTTAATATTATTATTTTTTTTTGGTTTTGGATTATAAACTCGCAATACACTGTTTTGCGGTTAAATATATTCGAGTCATTGAAATAGTTTTTACGATATTATAATTTATAAGTTGTATAGAGTATGTAGCGAGATGACGCGCAGTATCCGGTTGTTACTCCCGGATCGTTTCATAAGGAACCTTTTAATTGACGGTTAATATGAATCGAATTCTTCGACTTATTATACATCATAGGAGGTGATTTGAACGAATGGATAAGTAAGTAAACACAATTCGAAATATCCAAAATTTAAAATTAATATTTTATTTATCAATTAACAATCGATAAGTTAAACATTTTTTTTAGGAATGGAATGTGAGCTGCACTGTTTCTATAACGGAAAGTTCGGCTCATCAACGATTGCGGGGGTTCGTATTGAAGAGTTCGAACGAAGTGGTCGGCGATTAGTATGCCTCGTACGGGGCTGGTTTGTAGGCGGGCGCCGAGTAAGCGGGCGCCGGGTAAGCTGGTGCCGGGTACGCGGGCGCTGGGTAGGCCGGTTTGTAGGCTGGGGCGGCCTTGTAAGCCGGGGCGGAGTAAGAGTAAGGGGCGCCTTCCTTCTTGACCTCGGCGTTGAAACCGTAGTCGTCGGCGGTGTATTCGACGATCCTCTTGGTGCCGTCGGCTTCCAGAAGGCTGCAGTATCCCTTGACGGTCTTTCCGTCGCTGTATTCCGACTGGCTCTTGACGTCGTAGGTGGACGGGTCGTTGACGCCGTACTCGAAGCTGTACGGGGCCGGGGCGTACGCGGGCTCCGGGGCGTAGGCGTTTGGCGCGGAGTAAGCCGGCGCAGGGTAAGCCGGGGCGGCGTATTGGGCGACGGCGGCGGCCACGCACGCGGCGAGAACGATCATCTGAAACGTGTAAGGTTCCGGCGGTAAACGGTGCGTTTTCAGAAGTGGGACCGCGTGTCGCCGATTCCGACGCCCTGGTCCCGGACGGAAGGACCCCGCGGACTCGCGGATCGTACGGGATCCGCTCGACGTGCCCCGCAAGTCCGCGGGACACGCGCCGTGAAAACCGGCATTTCGGCGCGCCCCGGCCGCGTACTCGTTGCACGCACCGACGTTCAACCGTCTACACGTATCTTGGCGGCCATTTTATTTGTTCTCGTCGTGTTTTCGGACTCGCGTTCCGGTGATTGACGTCTCGTAGCAGTCGGCGCGTTCGGCACTGGTACGGTCCGCCCGTTACCCGTCGCATTCATGTCGATCCGCCCAGTCCGGTATTGTCGTCGAACATCATTACCTTCCGTCATATTAAAATGCGCTTATCGAAAACCCCCCGCTCGTTTTTTTTTTTTTTTTTCGTTCCGGAACCGGTCGTTTTTGATGTTATTACCGTTATTGTTATTATTGTGCAGTTCTTCGTTTCGTGTGCGCGCTCGCGGTCGCCGCCCCTTTTGTGTAACGATCCTTTCCAATCAAGCCGTTTATTATTATTGTGCGTGCACGTGCCGATCTATAAAAAAAAAAACCACTTTTACTATTCTGTACGAAACTGTTTCACCCGCTCGTTTATTAAACCGATCGAAATGAATTCTATTTGCGCAAGAGTTCGTCCGAAAATCCAACGTTTCTACGGATATTATCGACGGGCAGGTCGCTGTGTAGGTAATTTTCGTCATGTGCCGGCAAACATCTGCGTCAAATTTTTTAGCCAAATTGGTCGGATGGTATACATTGAATATTGCCGTGTCGTTCCGAAAACGTTTTTTCTCCCGAAAACACGATCGATGTAAATCCAATAATATTATTTATGATTGCTCCTGCGGTATTTATAACGTTGTTATATTAAAAAAAAAAAAAATCCAACAATATTTTTTTATACGAAATAAAAGAAAACCGTATTAAGTAGAAACACTTTTAATGACAAACTCTTTTTTTTCTTTTTTTTTTTTATGAGACCAAAAAATATATTTAATCGTATATATTTTTATTTCAAATTTACAATAATTTCCATGGTTTAACTTTCGGTTTTCTTTAATATTTTAACAACAATCCTATGTAAAAGTATATTTTTAGATTTTGATCGGAACAAAAAATGCATTGGTCTTTTTTTACTGCGATGTGTTTCTTTTTCTGTCTGCGAACAATCATATTTTCGACTAGAAATCTTAGTCCAACCATCCAAACCTAAGATGGATTCTGGTTTTGACTGTTGTCATAGTTTTCCTAATATTGCGAGGATTTTCTCGTTATAATTCGTAAAAAAACAATCGTAGACATTTGTAAACGTTATCGTTGTATTATCGTTTTCTAGAGCTCATAAAGTTTTTACAAATGCTCGTAGAATTTCTTAAAACTATTTATCGAAATTTGATATTTGCTAGGTTTTCTTTTGGTTTTTTTTATTTTTTATACGAATACAAATTGTATAGTTTATTTTTTCGGTATTTCAAGTTAAAAAGTACCGTTAATGTTCGTTTTAAACACGAAAAACGTTTATTTATTTTGTGACAACGAATTTACATACGGTCGTTTTAAATGTACTAAAAAACGTTTGACCGAACTCTGCTCAGAATCTTTTGTAGTTTTCTCTGCGTGGTTTAACCGACATCCGCGAGGGTGTTCCGTTTTCGCGAAATTCGCTCACAGAAGCCAGCGGTTCGCCGTTCGGATTACACCGTTAACAATGCGCGAAAATCCCCGTTACCCATTCGCGGGACGGGCTCCCTCGAATACGAAACAACAAGGCCCGTTCTCACCGGCGCAACCGTTGATTTTTCGAACGGAGTTTATAGGACAATCGACCGGTCGTGGTCGGTTATCGGCCGCGGACTCGGTTCGGGAATCGGATAAACGCATTTTTTTTTTTTTTCACGTTGGCAAGAACGACCCTAAACCGAATACCCTTACGTATCGCGCTTCGCACCGGCCGACCGCCCCCAACCTATCCTGACCTATTATTATACACTGTGCACGCGTGTTAACGGTGCGTTCTCGACTTCGCGACCCCGTCGGCATTGCGGGGTACGCTCGCGGGTAGCCGACCTAACAAACGCTCGCCGCGGACACGCGGATTTCGCGGCGTCGACGGCGCACAACACGTCCCGCGCGGCTGTTTCGTGTCACGTTGCTGTTGCGCCGTTGTTATAATTCGCAAACGCCGCCGTCGGTTTTACAACATTGTGCGGACAAACGCCGAGTGGGCCGAGAACACGGGCCGCGCGATGCGCCCGCGTTCGTTATTATTATACGCCGTTGCGCGGTCCCACACGAGCACTCGGACAATCTACCGCATTTTCGATCGTCGCGATTGTTACGGAATTCGGTCCGGAAAAAACCGCGACGTTTCAGTGTTATTCGTTTTTAGAGTATAACGTTATTACCGAGCGACCACCACCTTACGGCCGTTTCGGAGTCCGCGATCCGCCGTCGGTCATGACTTTCATTGGTATCAAAATTATATAATTTATTACCGACACACGATTACTGTACTCCTGATACCGTTAACATACGCAAACATTTCGAATTTATACCGATTTGAAACGCCGTCTAAATGTCAATAAATACGTCCTACAAAATACAGGGCGATCTCCGTTTATAACAGTGGCTACACCATAGACACTTCGAAAAGTATTGACTTTTATCGAAGTTGTACAACTCGAGAAACTCAGCTCCTTTAATCTGTTAGTGCGTCGATCGTACGTTATTTTTCGTCACCTCAGTTTTTAGTAGTCTCGCTCTTTCGGTCTGTCGGACAAACTATATTAAAAACTACATAAATAGACGGGATATTAGTTTTAATACATTTCTCAGTATATTTTTTATTTCCCTCGAGCAGTTGACGGTGTTTGTCGAGTTATCATAAAAAGAAAAACCATTTTTGAAATCGGACAAAACTCGTATTCGAATATCGAGCGTAGCCCACTTAAACGAATCACCCTGTACGTTCAATTATTAATAGTGCACGACAATAATAATTAATGATGCTGACGAACTAATTGACGTTTGATATGTCGACGGCAGCGGTGACCTTAAATAAATCGATAATAATATTATTATCCTATTGTTATCCTCAAACTCGGACTTCGTAGTCAAAACGGCCATAGAAGAATATTTGCCTGGGGGGGAGGGGGGGAATTTTCACTCGAAAGACCGTGACTCTGTCGGAATGGTCGCGTTATAAATACGGAATTCGCAGCGTTCTCGGAATTGGAACACGGGGATTTAGGTTGGCGGAAAGTAGCGGCGAAGATCGAGATAGACGGAGGAAAATATTATGGACGGCAGCTCCACGGCCGCTTACCGTTTCCGCAGCGCAATATGTATTAGTTATAACTTATGGGATAGACGGGACGATGGCGATAGATCTCCCACGTAGAGCATTTTTTTTTTTAATGTTAAACAATGCATCTGTTTGTAAAAGTGCCGATGGTCATCGGGTGTTTGCAACTCATAAGTTCTAGAACTAAGAAATTAGTTCTTACGGTTTACGCGGATACGCATCAGCCACCGTAGTAGGCGGAAAAATTTAAAAAGTATAGGTTAATACGTATTATTCAATTTATACGCCGAAATCATTGCGATTGAAAGTAGATTCAGCGCGGAGTTTTTTTTTTCGACGTTAACTTAATAGCCATGTTATGTTTTGTCTTTTATTTATTTATTTTTTTTTTGAATAACAATATAGTTTGTGTTTATTTTATTTTATTTTTTTTTTTTGAAAAAGTCTCGTACATGATTTTAAAATTAGCATCTCTTTTCAATTCTGTTATTCGTGTTTAAACTCTAATGCTTAAACCTAAACGCCAAAATTGACCGTGTAATAAGTACCGTAATTTTCATCTACGTTACAGTGGAGACACTCTAGTGTGAACATAGAACATTGTAGTGTTCTCAGGCATTTACACGTCCGTTTCAATATTATTTTCGGTTTTTTTTTTTTTGCGCTTTAGCGTGTACTAATTCTGAAACGGGGTAAGCACCGATATTGTATTATGTCAACAAAAAAGAAAACGGTTTCGTTCAATAAGAAATTATTTATTATTTACACGATTAGATACATATAGCGTAGTATAAAAAAAAAACAAAACAAAATTAAACAATAGGCATCTGTATAGTAAAACCGTTTACGTATAATACAACGAAACGACTTGCATCGCGTATCGTCACGGGTTCTTTTATTTTTTTTCATCGAAAATCAGTGCGAATAATAATTTTCGTGATCGTAGTGTTGTTCTTCGACGACGGGTGCGGCGAACGTGTACTTTACCGGTGCCGGGTAAGACGGCGCCTTGTGTTCGAATTTATGTTCCGACGACGACGGTTTGTATTGCGATTCGATCTTCTTGACTTCGGCCTGGAATCCGTGGACGTCGTCGGCCGTGTACTCGACCACCCGGGTGGAGCCGTCCGGTTCCACCAGGCTGTACGTTCCCTTGACCGACCCGTGTCCGTCGCTGACTTCGTTTTGGTTTTTGATGTCGCCGGTGGTCGGGTCGTTTACCGCGTACTCGAAGTGATACGATTTGGGCGCGTGCGATTCGTAATGGCCGCCGTCGGCGTTGGACTGTTCGGCCGCATAATGTTCGTACGAGGGCACGGCCGCGATCATACTCACGGAAACCACGGAGACGGCGACGAAAACGTACAATGTCTGAAACGAAAACCGCGCGAGCGTCAGGCGAGCTCGGATTAAAGGGGTCGCGGGCCCGGGACCCTAGAAGATCCGAAGAGCCCGTATAAAATGCGTATCGACAAGATCGCGTCGAATGCGAAGTTTTATGCCCGGCAGTGTTGCTTTTGTGCTTTTGTCGCCGGGGCCCGCTGAACCCTTTAAACCGTTCTCGGCGTAAGGTGTTATGTTTCAGAAATTAGAGAACGCGATACTCGCGAGCGCAGCAGCTGAAAATTTGAAAAAGCGGAACAGCAAAACATTTGCATTCCGCACCGACGAATTTGCGCGGTTAGTTTTAACACTAAAGACGATCGACCCGTTAACGAATCCGATGAAACGTACATTATCCGCGAAACTTGCCGGGGTTTTTGTTTTTTTTGTTTTTATCGACATTTGAATTTTTAAACGAGATCCGGGCGCGTGAATACGCCACGATTCGAAAACGCTTATAATCCGCAGAAAAAAATTAAAAATACCGAGAGAAAAACCGACAGCGCGTCACAGATAATGTCCTTGGCGTTGAGAGTTTGATAGCGACTCCGATTCGACGCGAATTCAACGCGGGTTCCACGGCCTCGCAACGGTCAAGTTATCCGATTGACGAGTATTGAGATAAAAACGGTTTCGACTCACCTTGGAATTCATTGTGGAATTCTTGTTTGGTTTTTATTTCTTGAACTTTCGTCGAATACAAACTGCAAAACTGTTGGCTGGTACTGTTTCGGACGCCGACTGATGATTTCCGTGGGCCGCCTACCGGTATTTATGTGTATCTCTTCTCGAGATTCCCTTCTACAATATTACGTTGAAGAAGATTTCCTGCGGTAGCGTGAAACTTTAATTCGCCGGCCGTGATGGCGAAACGGGAAATAGACGAGCGTTAATAGAAAGCGATTATGAAAAAAAAAAAAAAAAAATCGTATTAATTAAATCTTTCACACGGTCTAGTACTTTATGGAATCGTAACTACGCGATATTACTCTCATTGTCGTAATATGTTCAAATTGTGAATTTATAGTGAAGGCAGTAGTCCCAACAGCAATATTCGCGTTTGAGTGTAGCCGGATAATTTGAAGGCGGCAGGTGTAGCGGCGGTTTTTTGAGCTCTTCGTGCGTAAAATTATTAATATAAAAATGTTTCAATCGGTGTACGCATACGGATGATAATATACGCTAAACATTTCCTTCCACAAAGGTGGTAATTATTTTATATTTTGTTTTTTTTAGCTACCGGTTTACGAAGTTTAAATAATACGTACCGAAGCATTAACGAATATAATATGTACATTGTAATTAGCTATATTTCCTAGTTTTGTTTTTTTGTTATCAAACTTTCCAACGCGGAAATCAAGACACATTCTCCGATTGGCGTTTTAATTTACGGATCTGATCGTGTTTCACTATACTAAAAAGTAAATTCGATTATCTATGAACATGGAACGAATTTGTATACATGTATAATTTAGGAAAAGCGCTTAAAAACGTCAAATAAGCACTAAAAGAAAAAGAAACAAAAATGATAGAGGATTCCAACCCTCATCTAAACGGCTATAATCTATTAAATAAAATTTTCTAACGTTATAAAAAATGATTAACATAAAATTATTTTTTTTTTTTAAATACGTACAATTTTATTGTTGAAAAAAAAAGAATACCATTTTTGTAATGTTAATTAATTGTATCTTATAGGTTAAATCTGTTAGAGGAAGTAATTTTCCCATCATTTTTACCTTTTAAGTATTATTTTTTTTTTTTTTTGACGTTTTTAAATATTTTTTTATTATTTTTTTTTTTATGGATTTGAAATGCATGAATAAATACCTTTTTCTATTTATAAAACCTTATTAAAGAAATATTATTTCGAGTTAAAAAAAAAAAAAATACTCATACACTAATTATTTTAAAGTACTCATTTATATAACAAATACGAAACGATGAAACGATTTAAATTTAGACGTGCATCCAGTCGCAAAATATTAACAGTAGGTCGATAATTCAAAATTTCGATTATTTCAATACCCGAAGTAAATATGTATATAATTGTGTAGCACCAGCTGTCCCGCCCGGCGTTGCCATGCAAAAAAAAAAAATATACTCCAACTATGAACAAAATAACAAGTTTCTATAATAACTATACTGTTCCTCGCGACAGCTATATTACAAAACTTACACTTGTTTATTTGTTAGTTTTGTTTTTTAACTTTTTTGTTTCTATTTCACCCCGTATCGCCAAAGTAACCAATAAATCGATGAAAATAATACTATTTTCGTGCTCAAAAATACCACCGAACCTGCGTGAGACCCCCTTGGGGGGTATATTATCTTATATGGATAAAAAAAAAAAGTGTTGTTTTTATGTCCGGGGTTTCTCAGAAACCGCTCATCCAATTGGCATGCGTTTTAAACTATTGAAATCCTCGATTTGACCAGTAGAAGTAGTAGACCTATCCTGCAGTATTTCGGTCAAAGTAATAATGTATAGGTATTTATCATTGTTTAGCAACCGTATAACTGATTCATTTAGATTTGAAATGGAAATTAAAGAAAAGAAATTTTTAAACATTTACGGGTGACAACGGTCAACTGCAGTACAATATTGACGGGGATTGAAACAGGGAATTTAGGAGGACATTTTTATTACACATTCTTGTTTGGCATGGGCAACGCCGGACAGGACAGCCAGCAGAGTCGCAAATCTAAGAAAGAATGGAGGGCACTTGCCCCCCTCCCCCCATTAATTTGGTAAGAGGTTGGGTAGGAAATTTTGGTCGGTGGTCATTTTCAGATTTAATAATAAATTATATTCCGGTAGATACAAGGAGGCAAAACCATTTGATCATGTAGAACGTATAGCGCCATGACGGTATGCAAAAAACAGAACGATTGTCAATACCTATGATATTGTGGTGGATAACTACCACAATTATAATTACAGGTAAATCAGGCATCAACTACCGTAGTTCGTCACACCGTCGCCGACATTCCGAACACGTTTGTTTACATTTTTCGTCGATAACGATATTGATACATCAATACGAATTTCTAAGAACGAACACAAGAATAGATAATTGGGCAGCCGAACAGATATGCTAACCATAAGTATTCGGTTCAGACGGCGTTTATTAAACATTTAAATCAGTACCGCTATTTATTCGTTATCCCATGTCGTTCCGAACTCGATCAAACTTTCGCTTGTTTAACTGAAATTCTAACAACCTGCGAGCGATTACGGTGTTTTAAACATTATTTATCGCCCGGTTATCTCCGTTTAATTAAAAATGAAAATAACAACGTTAAAAAAAATGTCGTCGAAGCGATAAAACTGTTACGAATAACCGCGAACACAGTAATATTGTTGTTTTTAATATAATCCGCGCAAAATACATACATAGTAATTATTTCTCTCCGCACGGTTTTCGTTACGTTTTAATTTTTTTTTGTTTTATTAAAAGTTTCAAATAACAACATTTCCGTTAATTATTTTTCGCATACGAGGTTTTAATCCCCGCGAAACTGCTTTTGAAATTAAATTAATTTTTCGGACTCTGCGTGTCAATGATTACTGATTATGCGACGCGCATATTGCTATAATCGTGTTTTATGCGTCTACATGTTAGCATGGCGACTATAAACTTTAGTAAGTTTACCGCATTTGATTAAAAAACCGTATTTAAGGATTACGAACGATTATCGCATCGTGTCAGTGGCGTGTGCCACGGTCCCACCGGTAGTATTTTCATCATGATAATTGTTTTGTGTTTACGTTTCTTCATACCGCGTAAATGTTTTTTATTTTGATATTGCATCGATAACGCGATAAATAAATAATTAATATAAACAGACGAACGTGAAATTTTGGATTAGAATTTTTTTTCTGCTCCCCCCACCCCATTAAGAAATCGTGTTTGTGTCACTGTTGCATGCTGGCAGATTGTTTATATTTTTATCGTAGTCACAGTAGGTCATATTTTTATTTATCTAACGGCCAGTATAGCAAAACTGCGTACACGCATCTACTTCCAATCGAGTTCACAGTCGAATACCACCCAGGTGGCAGAATTGACTGTGCTTTCCAAGGGCAATTTTCTATTTCCCAATTAATGGATATTCAAAGTTTAAAAAAAGACGGACATACTTCGCACGTGGCGCAGCCACTGTTGCAGGTGGGAAGTTGAGAAGGTAAACTACATACGGGAATTTAATTTTTATCTGTAAGTAATGATAAACAATTGCTAACGAAAATACGATTCTGAGACCAGTTCAGTTGACAATGTTGCTTTGTCAACAATACAATATATAATATTGTGTCATATTATGGTAAAATTATTAAAACAATGCGCGTTTCCATAACAACAATGATTGTTTGAAAAATATTAAAATAATAAAAGCTTAATAATAACAAAAAATAAATAAAAACGGTTGCCAATGACAACCTTATTTTTAATCTTTCAATCTTTTTTAACCTAAAGACCGAGGTTTTCCTCATTATCTCGAATGTTAATAAGAATTTAAAGAAATTACCTCTCTTAACTACCATCCAGAGAATATTAAATTTCAGAAAAAGGCGATATACTTGATAGTTGGAATAGGCTTTCTAGTAGAAAAAATGTTTACATAAAAAATAAAAATAAACATCACTGTAAAAACAATATACATTTCTCGTCCCGCTCATAATCTCAAATACACTTTTAATATACTTAGATATATATACTATTATTAATATAATAATAGTATATACCGGTCTGGGTAGACCGGTCCGTTGACTGACCGGATAACTGATCTAATATTCGAATAATTATTTGGCGTTTAAACCGTCGCTGCAATGATCGTCGGACAAATATCCGAAATATTTTAATTGCATTCTGCGCACTTAACGTACACGCCGGCCATAGCTTGTCGATGTCCGGTTTGGATTGGCCGCGGTCGACATTGTACGTATATTACGTATATCACAATTGCGTGAACGGTATTAAACGTAATTTTGCGTGGGATAGAGAAATATAATGTGGACTATATTGTGGCGTAAATCATTCTGGTGATTGAGAGTGCAAGTCGTTACGTGGGTATACGCGTAAACGTGATACAAAACACTAAACAGTGATTATTTTTGCATTTTGATACACCACTTAAAAGTATACTATACAGGCCGAATGTTAGTGCGGATGAGTGGTGATGTGACTGGGTCGGATAAATAAGAAAGAATAGTTTGAATATATATAGGCGCGTAGAAAAAAGTTGAATGGACGAGTAGATAAGACGGTGAAATGCGGGATATCGAAGCCGGAGAAAAGAAGAGTTGATGAAAAAAAAAGCGGCTAAAAGATATTAAGGTGTAAAAAACGATAATAGTATAGTGGCGACTGCGGGGTGACTATAATGGAGCATATTTTGAGATTTAAAAAGTAGGTGAGACATACTAGTGCCACCTAGGTAAGAAGATATCGTCGAACTCTAAGCACGACGCGTAGATATGTAAAAAAAATTCGTATTAATATAACACATATTTATTGGTAAAAGAAAATATATAACATAGATGACATGATGGTTCGCGGTTTCATAAAAATATATATGAAAATCCGCGAACGACGAAATGATGATTATGGAAGTGATGGTTTTGAGACGATGTTTTGAAACGCTATAGGAAAACCACCGTTGGTCGAATTCTAGTAAGGTTTGTAGGCCGGGACGCTGTACGGGGCCTTGTAGCCACCTTCGATTTTCTTGACCTCGGCGTTGAAACCGCTGTGGTCGTCAGCGGTGTACTCGACGACACGGGTGGAACCGTCGGGTTCGACCAGGCTGTAGGTACCCTTGACGTAACCGTTACCGTCACTGTATTCCGATTGGCTCTTGATGTCGTGGGTGTACGGATCGTTGACAGCATACTCGAATTTGTACGGGGCTGGGCCGTACGCCGGTTCCGGGACGTAAGCGGCCAGGGTGACGGTGGCGCAAGCAACAGTGAATATCCAAATCTGCAAACGAACGCGAACATTTGTATTTTATTTAAGGAAAAGGGCACTGCGCATAGTGACGTGCCCGTAATCGCAGGGCTCAACAACGACAACAAGACGAGTCCGAAATACCTTTTTGATAATTTCGAGTAAAACAGAAGAAGAACGCAACCTAATTTGATGCGAGTACGCCAACCAGTTACGAAAAATCATCGATAAAGATTAACGGTCTGGTTTAATCGGAATTCCGAAGTGAAAAGAAGACAGATCTCGTAGAAAGATGGATTTTTTTTTGTTTTTTTCTCCCGCAAAATTCCGAAAAGCGGACTCGTCTAGCCGATCCCTCCGAATGCACCTCATTACTACATACTGCTTGGAACTTACGATTTGCATTTTGTCAGAATAGCGGTTAATTGGTACAACAAGGAGTTAAGTATAATATAGTTTATTGTTCAAACAACTACTGAAACTCGGCGACTGATAGATTCTCTACCCGTTGCCGCAGTATTTAAATATCGCACGGTAGGCGCAGTTTTTTCCCACTTTCCACGCATACCTAAACATTGTTGTAGTATTTGTATTATTTCACTCCCACGAGATTGCGATTTGCACCGGTCAATATACGATGTTATTTTTAGTGTAACATTTATTCGTTAGTTCCTCGGTTTTACTGCAAAATAAATCAACCACCTAGAACGCAATGTAAGTGTATTTACCTACATGGTGTTCTGATAATAATTTATTGTTTTACATAAGTATGTTATGCAAAGACGGTTTTTTTTTTTTTATTTCGATTTGATTTTATGACAATATAGACAATGTAATGTATAAAAACAACGGACATGGATTCAGCCACTGTTGTAGGTGGGAAGTTGGGAAGTAAGGCTACAAACGGGAATTTAATGTATATCTGTAAGCAACGATAAATCATTGCTAACGAAAAAACGATTCTGAGTCGATTTCATTTGATAATTTTGCTTTGTCAACAATTCAATTTATGGTATTATGTCATATTATGGTAATATGATTAAAAAAATGTGCATTTCCATGACAACAATGATTGTTTAAAAAAGATTAAAATAATAAAAACTTAATAATAACAAAAAATAAATAAAAACGGTTGACAATGACAACCTTATTTTTAATCTTTCAATCTTTTTTAACCTAAAGACCGAGATTTTCCTCATTATCTCGAATATTAATGAGAATTTCAAAAAATGACCTCTCTAAAGGTGCTATACTTGATAGTCAGAGTATGTTTTCTGGCAGAAAAAGTGTTCACATAAAAAAAAAAAAAAAACACCATTGTAAAACCAATATACATTTTTCGTTCCACTTAGAATCTGAAATATACGCTAATTTGAGTGAAAGGTTGTACAAATTTTAATTATTTTCGTTGCATTCGCGTTACGTATTACATACTCGAATAATTGATTATTATTATTATTATTATTCGAGAGCAATGGGTTGAATATTCCAGGTTTGCCGTTAAATTGGAATCGTTAATTTTTCATTATCGATATAGTAATTATAACCGATTGATTGATTAATGTGTAGATTATCGTGTTAAAAAAAAATACCCATCATCCAATATCGCACTATAATAACGGTAGTTTAGTAAAAAACGAATTTAACGATTTTACTAATTTTTAAATACATCGTGTATGGTTTTGGTATAATAAACTTTTACATTTATAACAAACTATTATTTTCTTACTTTGCTATATTTTCTCATTTAACTTATTTAACTCAATTTACTCTACTTTATAGATACAAGTAGTTTATCGTGAAGAACTACATTGTTAATCAAGGAAAAACGGTGTATTATCTCAAATCGAATTTTTTCGAGTAATTTTTAGTATTTTTATCGTTATTTTACTGTGTGATACCCGTTTTTGGGGGAGGGATACGGCTTTTTTCAATAATATGACGTTTTTTGACCGAAAAGTCAGGCGAAATTGTATACAGAAAGTGTGGATTTCAGTTTTGAAAACGTACCGGTATATTATTTCTTAAGTTCTTTGCTATAAAAAACATTGAAATTATTTTTTCTCGGTCGGTGTCGAAATACTCAACTGACTCGATATTCATTGGGTTTGGTGCGGCTAAATTTTCGACGAATAGAAAAAAATAATCGAAAAATGACAATATATTTAATAACAACCGGCTGATTATTTTTAACGCGGTAATATCGGCGTAATTTATTTACGATGTTTGTGTACTATACGATACTTCTTTTACGTGGTCCTTTTCGAAAGTGGATATAAAGATACTCGCGATATTACTTGTTTAACGTAACCCACTTGAAAATTTGATAATAATTTCGATTGGCACATAATTCGGAGTCGGCGCGCGTGTAATAACAGAAACGTCGGTAGCCGCGGTAACTCGAATGTAATCGAATGTAATGTAATATTATTATTACTATTATGTTCACCCGTAGGACGAATATTCCGTTTCTGTATAAAGTATGAAATAACAATTCACTATCGCAACATACTCGTTTCATATTCGACATTATAAACAATCGGTGGAAGAAAAAACTTAAAAAATACAGACATACTTAGCGCGCTTGTCGGGCCACTGTAGTAGATAAAAAGTTGTTAAGGTAGTAGAATGGAAATTTAATGTGTATCCGCACGCAACGATTGACCATTACTAGCGAAAGGAGTCCGGTTAATAGTGTCGCTTTGTCAACAATACATTACACGTCATATTATGGTAAAATAATTGCACATAGGTATGTGTTATTAATTTTCTTTGATAATTTTTGTTTAATATTGTACCTGTTTTTCCGTTTTTCCTATGTTTTTTGTTCCCCATTCATTATGAAAACAACTGGGAAAATCGAAAAATTATAAACTCGTCAAAGTAGCACCAAACTCAGATTTGATTTCAGAAGATGTGCCATCATTGTAAATCAGAGCAAAATTTCTGGTAAAAGAGTTATTCACAGCTAGAAAAAAAAAAAAATAAAAAAAAACGGAAATTTAATAAATATCATTGTAAAACCAATACATTCTTCGCTCCACTCAGAATATGTATCTGATGGAACCGCGTATTCTGTACATTTAATAACTTACTAAAGATGTTCAAACAAACTCCGATAATAATGTGCTATGAATCGGAGCAAAGTCTATCGAATGGTTTTATTACTGTGACATGTGTTTTAGTGCCATTTTTATTTGCTTCGCAGTTTTCTTAATAATTGGGAAATCGTGTTTAGTAAAAACGAACTATTTACGGTGGTAAATTTTCATTATTTCAGATAATTTCACGCTGTTTTTCTATATATTCTGAAATTTCGTCCGAAATTGAATAGTATCATCTTTTCTGGTTTCGTCTTGTTGTTGGTACATTTGTAGATTTGTTTTTGATTTGCATTGTAGTCGTCTCAAAAACTGGGAAAAACGGGATAATTTACAAAAACTACGGTGGTTTCATTATTTTGTTGTAATTCGGTTAAAAATAATCGTAGAGACTTGACATTTTTACAGAATACTTATATGTTATCACTACCTACACGTTGTGTAGTTTTCGAAATATTCTGGCCATTTGTATGCTAACTTTTTTTTCCGAATTTTCGGAACATAGTGGTGCCATGTGCCGAATTTACTTATCAGATTATACCTACCCAACAATTTGCACGGTGTATAGTGAACTAGTTTTGAATAATTATTGAAAATTATCACTTTTAATGTATTACTGATACTCGTGATATTTATAATTATATTGACTTCCGAAATTTTCAGGTACTAAATACTGTGTTGGATATTTGTATATTATTATCGATCGACAGTTAATAACTGGTATAAAACAAACAATAAGGCAATAGAACCCTTAGAACGAGTTTAATAATTAGCGTAGCGAATAATTTATTTAATTTAAAGGTATAGTTCTCGAACAAAAAAAAAACATATTTCATGCATTAATTTCCTTTGTTATGAACTTTTTCTTAATTAAATATAAACTTTATGCGAATAATTAAACAAAATTATAGATACACACCGGTAGTAATAAAGAAAAGTTTCTCGGTAGATTACTCGACTGATGCGATGAAGCGAATAATAGAAAGTCAAATAAAGTCAAATAATAGACGATAAGTCGTCGGATATCCTTGTTATGTACGATATACAATATATGCTTCTCTAAAATTAAGAAAAAATATTTAAAAACCTTAAATGACAGACAATAAGTACTTCGGTGTATACGTTTTCGCTAATAATAAGAAGGGTCACCAAAAAAGTAAGGTTACATATATATATATAAATAAAAAGTGCTTATACTATAACGAAACTTAAAGGGTATTATGTCTTAACTATTTTTCAACATAATCGCTTTCAAGTTCAATGGATATGCGTAGTCGAGGGTCCAGCTTTTGTATACCCGTGTCGTAGACTTTTCCCGTAATCATAATTGGGTACGCTAAATTGAATACGTTTTTTTTAGTCATACAAATAATATACGTAGCTAAAAAAACGTTTGAAAAAGTACCAAATAATCGATACATTAATGAACTACGGCATATTGAAATTATTGTGCTCGTACTTTAATTGTCCTGACATTTTATTGAATACAAAATAAAAATACACAGTATTTAATCGGATTGAACTTTACTTTGAAAAATCATTTAAACAATTAGTACGAATTTCAATGGTATTTAGTTACCGCAGTATTGTTCCCATTAAAAAAAAAGTTTCGTTTGTATTTGAATTGAACTGATTTTCAACTGGACGTCGTTAATATGATAATTTTCCGGAAACTTTACCCCGAGTATTTTAGTTATTTACTTGCTTTTAGATTCCGAGCGTAGCGAGGGAACTATTAGTTTTACAATGTTGTTTATTTAGTTTTTTTTTTCTTTTTTCTTCTAGACTATAGACACGTTTTTTCCTGGTAAACTTGCTCCGATTTTACGTGTAGCAAATTTTCTGAAAGCTCAAGTTTTCTTAATTGTACTTTAAAAGGTCGTTTTGTTGATTTTCGAAGCCATTTGTTTAAATAAAAGCACTTAAATAGGAAAAAGTAGAAAAACGTACAATATCACGATTTCATTATTTTATAAAAATACCGACGACGTTTTCTACCAGAAAAAAATGATTTAATCGAAAAATAATAAAATACCTTTTTTGTTGCTTTTTTGATTTAATTTTTTACAGTATCATTACTAAAACTTTTGAGCCACTTTTGATCTTTTAAGGGATTTTAATTTTTAGTAATTTTTTTACTGTAATTCGTTTATAAATACACATAGAGATTTAAAACTTGGTAATACTTATATTGGACTAACGTAGACGTAAAATTTCCAAAATCATCAGACAACTTTTTTTTTTTAATAAGCGTTTTGAAATCAAATTTAAACGAAAATCACAAAAAAAACTATGGCACTTCAAATTATGTATTACCAAACTGCGCTCGAATAGCCTATCGTCAAGCAATCGTTGCTTAAATGTACCTTACCTTCCCATCTAACTTTCTAACTTCTACACCAGTAGCTGCTCCCGTTCCCAGTATCGCCTCTTTTTTTTTTTTTTTGTTGTCGTTAGTAAATAAAATTCAATCCCAATATACCGGAGAAACCCGTAAACAGATACGGTCGTATTAACAATAATTTTTTAAATGTAATATTTCATTTAAAGCTGTCTAAATTTTACAAAAATGGAAATCGTGTACTTTTAACATGTCCATAAGTACACAACTGTTGAACTACAATGTACAGCCGGTTCGTCGATAAAGATAAAAAAACCGATAGGCACATTTGGAAGGGATACCTCGACGATTACGACTTTCGATATAAATACACTGACGTCGTTTGAACAATTCACCAGTATCGGTTTTCACGTTTTCACAGTAAGAACCTGTTGCAGTGACCGAAGACTCAGACTCAAAATGGCCGCCAAGGTAAACGGAATAAAATTTTTTTATCTATTTATAGTCCGAACCGTCCCACTAACATTGCGATGAGGGGCCGTACTGATTCGACGATATCAATACAATTTTCGACGACGGTCATTAACGAACGCGTTTCAATCGCCACTGCGTTACCCTCGAGTCGACTACGCATTATCGAAACGTTTTTCGAGGCTCATACGTTTTCGTCTATTATTGATTATATTACTATTATAATTATCACGGTTAGCGGTTATGGAGGCTAAGTTATTGTCGTTTTTTAGTTAATCGTCGTCGCCGTCGTGGCCGTTTGCGTGTCCGCTGCCCTGGCCCAATACAAATCCGCTTATCCGGCACCCAAAGCCTACGCCCCGGAGCCCGCTTACGCACCGGCCACGTATAGCTTCGAGTACAGCGTAAACGACCCGTCCACCCACGACATCAAGAGCCAGTCGGAATACAGCGACGGCAACGGTTACGTCAAGGGAACCTACAGCCTGGTCGAGGCCGACGGCACCAAGAGGATCGTCGAGTACACCGCCGACGACTACAACGGATTCAACGCCGAAGTCAAGAAGGAAGGCACGCCGGCTTCTTACGCAGCCCCGGAATACAAACCGGCCTACAAACCAGCTCCGTACAAACCGTACTGATAACCAGATTTTTCGACACGCAGAAAATGCCCCTCCCTTCTGTACAAAAATGATCAATCCGTGTGAATTATTCATCGTTCATCGAACCGAATCGCGTCATTATTGTAAATATATACACATTGTACTGCTTTCGCATGTAAACAAAATACCAATTTGAATAACGATAATACCAGAAGTACTATACCTACCTTGCGTTTGCGCTAATTCAGTATTGACGGCTGTCTGTTTGCGGAATTCATCTCGAAATCATTATTATCAGTTGCGTAGCGAAGGTATACTGTAAGCATTAATAGCACGAAATTATCGTCGACATTTCGACAATAAGAGCAGTTAAAGAGTGCATAATGGTTTTATTTATTGGATTTATTCGTCTGAGTGGAAATCATTGCTATATAGAAAAAAAAAAGACAAGACGGACATTCTCCGCACATGGGTGCAACCACTGTTATAGGTGAGAAGTTGGGAAGGTAAGATATAGAATGGAATTTGATGTATATCTGTAAGCAATGATAAACCGTTGGTAACGTAAAAACAATTTTGAACGGAGTTCAGTTGATATTAGTGTTACGTTTTCAACAATATATGATTATATTATGGTAAAATGATTACAATAATGTGCGTTTTCATGACAGCAATGATCATTTAAATGGTTTAAAATAATAAAAACTCAATAACAAAAAAATTAATAAAAACGGTAGCCAATCTTATTTTTAATCTTACAATCTTTTTCAACCAAAAGAACCAGGTTTTCCTAATTATCACGAATATTAATGAAAATTTCAAAAAATAACCTCTCTAAAGTACCACCCAGAGAACAACATTTCCTCTTAGAAAAGGTGCTGTAATTGATAATTGGAGTAAGCTTTCTGATGAAAAAGTGTTCACTTAAAAAAGAATAAACATCATTGTAAAACCAATACATTCCTTACTCTGATCAGAATGTAAAAAGGATAATATTTTTCAACCATTGTCATATTGGAAACTCGATTTTCATATTTTATGCGTGGTTGAAAACGTCTCCCCGAAATTTTTTTTTGGCTACGACACTGATTATTATCTATACACATTGCATACCCAGTTGTTTTGCAAGAAGTTTTACGAAACTCATTATCACTTACATTGTACCGTACAAATTATTATCAACTCAAAAACAAAAACCGCTGTGTGGACGTTGAGAAATTCATGTAGTCTCGTTATAATCTGCACTGTTGCATTAATCTTGCCGTTTCGTAAATTATTATTGACTTCTCCGATCGGATTTATTTGCGTTAACTCTCATCTATTTCACCCTATTGCGCCCAGAAATGAAGATTACATAACTAGTTATTAAAAAATATGTGTATATTTTCAACAATACGTATTTCGGAAAGTAACCAAAAGTGCTCATAAGTGTAGGCAAATTTAATGTATTGCAAGTAAGTAGGCTGGTACTCATTTAATTTTCATACTCTTCGCGAATTTTTTTTAAATGTTTTTTATACGTAAACTATAAACCAATTATGCTTAACTTAGTTGGTTTTTTTTTATTTTTAATAAATTCAGTTGAACAATAGTCTCAAAAAATAGTGTTTATTTTTTAATGCAATAATGACAATTGATCTAAAATTAGAACATAAATACGTATTACTTACACTACGGTAATTTTTCATTTTAACAGTGAATCACTATACGTTCAAAATATGCCAATCATTATAAACAAAGCGTGGTAACCATAGTTGTAATATTTCCTGTACGTACCATTTTCGGGAAAATAAAAATGACCATTCGTTATTCATATTGAACACAAAAACAATAAGGACTACTGAATAATGATACTAAATAGATAATAATATTAAAAATTTAATACCGTTTAAATAATATACTGATGTAAGTAGGAAATAATATAAGCCGGACATACTCTTTAATGATTTAGTTTATATATGAAAGCAATATTTGAAATCAATGCATTCAAAAATCGAATCACAGCAAAGCTCGGTAAACGGTATAAAGCAGTATCCTAGCGACGTGGTGTGCCTTTTAACGTATTCTGATTGGCCGTTTTTATGTTGTTAATATTTAGTAACTATGCCTTATCGGAAAATGTCCACAGCAGGGCTGAAATTATATTTTCTGTCGTTTGATTTCACTGATCAGTTGATTTGTTGATGTTATCAATATAATCACGCTTATCGCTACGGTCTGAAAACGATAAACTGTTGAGTAAAATATGACATAGCGTCACTAGGCTATAGTCTAAGATAGCTGATAACCTAGAAATTAATATAATTATAACCGATATGAATAACTGTTTAAAACTATTCAGAATACAGTGAGTATCGAATATTTCCGAAAAAAAAAGCATTTCTAAAATATTCGTAACACTTGAAAAGTACTCTGAATACAGCATGCAGAATACTTCGTTCGTTCGGATTACTTATCCGCGTGTCGAATTGGACATATTTTACTTGCAAAATGAGTAACTTTCGAGGGACAGAAATACATCCTAGTAAAACGTCCGTGACAGACCTTTCGCCACGTTCAAATATCAATACAAATATTTATTTAAACACGACCAAGTAGGTACGCGCTATAATAACACAACGTCAGAGCGAATTGAAATAGGCCGGCACGCATTATTAGGCATTATGATGAACGTTCAATTACAAATCCGTAGTCATTACGATCGGGGGAGTCTGTGCATATTTATAGTAGCCCGCAACGGTGTTACATTCACATAATTTGTATGACAAGGAGTGATTTTCGTCTTTAAATTAATTATAATTAGAACGGCACGCGTTCTCTTAGAAACGCATTATCTATTAATAACCTTCGTCCACTATGATATTATGCGTATGCGCGTGGGGTAACCGTACGGTTATTTTATTAGGAGGTAACCCGCCTATTAAAATGCACGTATATATGCATAAATAATATACGAACATCTAATAATATTATTATGTTAATTCGGTTTGGTGCACTCGGATAAACACTCGATTCAATATTATAATCTATGTGCGTACCTCGTCCGTATTATTATACAATAACAAAGACGGCTAGGCAATTATCGTTATTATTACTATTTGAAGACGCCGATATACCTACGTGCCAGAGGTTTATAACGTAGGATCGTCCGGTTGAAAGCGATTCTAAAATATACTAATAATATTCCCGGGATTTTTTTTTTTTTTTTTTTATAATTATATACGTCGCATCTATCCGAATAACATAATAATATATTGTAATGGTACGTACGTACCTACCTAGATTGGTATAATGTAAAATTTGCATTGTTATGTACGATGTGTGTTTACGAAAGCAGTAAATTACACATTGCCCGTCGGTTTCCACGCGAGTTCACGGTGCAGGTATTTAAAAAGTAGTGAACTGTTCTGCCCGTTAATTGTACAGCATACAGGGTGTATAATAACCGGCAATTATTTATACGAAGCATGTGCCGAGTGAGTTTTCATTTCGGTTTTATTTCTGCGGCCATTTCTAGTGTGTAGATCTTCCGACTGGTACATTGTCTCTCTACCACTCTCCTCCGATAGTATTTTCCGACATCAATTTGTCGTTTTCGTTTGGATATTTCAAGGAGGTAGCTTCAAGATAATCAGCTGTATAGAACGCTATTATATCCGAGAGTATACTGCCTAACCGTAGACGTTTTCTCGTTTTTATAGTGTCTATCGGTTTTTCTCTGTTTATTGGCTTGTTGTCATTTGATCTTTCGCATGCATCTCAAATGTTCTTTATTGATTTTTATATTATTTTTTGTTTAAGTGATCTTACTACTTAGGATATTTTTGACGATCTACCCATATTTCGTACGGTACCATTGTTAACATGTGTTTAATTTCGATTTTAAAACGGCAAACCACAAAATTTAAACTCTCGTTCGGCAAAGAAATTGTTTTTCTAAAAGTTATTTTACGTACGCACATCACTAATGTCGGATAAATACCGTTTATAAGTTATAAAATCAATATTATTTTTTTTTTTTCGAATCTTTGTGTAAAAATACGTGTTGCAGTTTGAAAATCAAGTATTGATTATGGTATCCGGAATAATCTAATTGTAAAATCTCGGATACATAATAAATAATCAAATTTACTCGAGATAATCGCTAATTTATGAAAATATAATTATTATTCTGTACCACATAGGCTCGGGTTAATTTAAATTATTATTTTTTTAAGATAATAATTTCTACGCGGTACAAAACGATCAATCTCCTCGTACACAGTGTACAATTTATTAAAAAAATGAAACAGAAGATCTACATAGATATGTAGTAATCTTTTTAATTGCTATCGTCCTGAATGTAATAATTAGTTCCTCATTTCTATGCGTACGTATTGAATGCGTGCAGTGTTTCAACTTTTTATTACCTGTACGGAGTGTAAAGTTTTTGAACACGGTCCGTTGGGTATTTTTATGAACGCTGATATATGGAAAAAATAATTATGCACTCGAGTGTTAACAGCATCGGCTGCTGTAATTAAGTATACGCTATATTTTATATACCTACCGCTCGTTGTATAAAACTGAAATTTATATAGGTAGATTGTAGGCAAGTATTCGTATAGTAGATATTTATAAAACCTAAGCTTTTTTTTTTTTTTTGCAATTTTTTCTATTTTTTCTTTATTTTTTCATACCTGAATGTTATAGGAATGTTTATTGTCAAATCGGGTAATTCAAATAATTATCTCGAGTAATTTTGTTTTCATCGAGCATTTGCATTAATACGGGTTTTAAGTAGATATTCGAAAGTATCTAGAACGGGAAAATAAAATTGTTGTTTACATTATAGTTCTTAAGACAAAGCAATACAATAGGCAAGTTTAACATTTTTTTTCCCTTAGTAAGCTATGTAATTAAGTAAAATAAACAATGCTCGAACATTTTTTTTTAGAAGTTCCTATTTTTTTTTCTAAACCCTTTAAACTTTAAAACAAAATCCTAAAAATGTTTAATATTTTTTTTTTATATAATAACACCAGCGGCCAAAATATTGTTTACAAATTGTTATCAATCAGCATAATAACGCGCTCGACAAATGACGTACCACAGAGTATTGTAATAGATACTCTGTATGGTACACCTTCATACATTTTACGATTTGTGCCATTGACGCACATACGGCGGTGCCAGGAGGTGCTTGGCACTCTTAGATTTTGAGCTAAATATAATACTCAAATAGTTTTCAGATATGACATAAACAATATAACAGTTTTACTTTTGTGTGTTAATTTATATTATATTTATATCAATAATTAATATTAGATAGTATTTATATCATATTATTAAGTAAATTTATGTTAATTGTTTTCATATGTTTACCTTATCCCTTGTCGGTTATTTATTAGGCAATGAAAGATCCATTATTGAAAATCAGATCTCATTGTTTCACTTCTTTTTATTTAATGAGCAAGTACAATATATAATTTTAGTTTGAAATGTCAAATTGGTTGGGAGGCTGTGAGGGAACCTCTCCTTCCGTGATATCCCATCGTGAATATATTTAGCATTACTAAGTTTTAGACTGAATGTGCGCCAATGAAAGGCACATACTTGATACTTACATCACGCACATAAAAAATTGCAGGCTTCACTTGAGGGATGTACAAAGCTAAAAAAATACGCTCCTAAACAGACGTATCGGAAAAATATATATGCACAACATATAATGCAGTGTTCAATGCACAAGTGCACTAGTCTCCATTTTCGAGGGGGAGGGGGGAAACCGACAAAAACAATTTATAACAACACAATTCGCTATCCGAGTATAACGCTGGCAATTTGAATTGTGGTAATATTCCAAGCCGTCGAAAATCGGACGCAAATGTCCCGAATTCCACTGGACGATGCGCAAAGTCGCACTTGAAAGCGAAGTGTACAACAGCGTCGAAATCGTTACTTAGTCGGTCCGGGTCGACGTTCGGACGAGAGCGAATGTTAATTTTTTTCCGCTTCAGATAGAAGGCAACGTAAATAATGAAAACACTCGGTATTATATATACGGTTTAAATAATGAATTATTTATTCAACGATATATTATTTTTCTAACAAATTATACGACAAAATATCGTGCGTGGATAACGCGGTGAACAGGGATGGGAAGTGAGCCACGGCAGTATCGTTTCTTAAACGAAACGCTGTCGTATCGAGAGCTCGGTGAATATTGACAAGCGATGAGTGTATGGTGTGCTGGAGATGACGCGGAACAGTTGCGGACACGAGGGGGACGATCAGTACGCGGGCTTGTAGGCGGGCGCGCTGTACGGGGCCTTGTAACCTCCTTCGATCTTCTTGACTTCGGCGTTGAAACCGCTGTGGTCGTCGGCGGTGTACTCGACGACGCGTACGGAACCGTCGGGTTCGACCAGGCTGTAGGTGCCCTTGACGTAACCGTTACCGTCGCCGGACTCGGATTGGCTGTGCACGTCGTAGGTGTGCGGGTCGTTGACGGCGTACTCGAATTTGTACGGGATCGGGGCGTACGCGGGCTCGGGGGCGTAGGCTTTCGGCGCGGAGTAAGACGGGGCGGCGTATTGTCCCAGGGCGGCGGCCACGCACACGGCGGCGAAAACGATCATCTGTAATGAAAAAAAAAAAAAAAATCCGGATCAGTGAACGGCCGGCAGAAAGACCGACGGAGGTGTCGTGAGGTGCCGAAAAAAGAATCCCGAGGAACTGTTTGGGATGGTCTACCGTACAGTTAGGTTAGGGTCCTCGGCCGCGGAAGGCCAGGAATGACGAAGGCGAGAGGCGGGCCGTGAGTCTTGTGGCTAGGCGCAGCCGACCGAACAGGTCGGGGGCTCCGTACAGAAGAACGGGCCCGGCCGGAGGAAGCTCAGGAAATTCAGAATCGACATTATCGTTTTTGACAAATAGATATTTTTTTTTTTTTTTTTGATTGCCGCGTAAAAAATTCGACGTAGTCACTTACTTTGACGGCCATTTTATTTGTTTGTTTTGGGTATTTTTTTTTTCCTCTTCAACTTTGATGCTGAGTGGTACTCGCGGTGATGTCGTCGGCGAATTGGTGTCTGTTCACCGGCTACCGTTCGTATTTATACGCGACCATTGAGATTTCGTCCCTTCCAATTGATCTAATATACTGTTATTATAATCCGATATCAATTATTCGTTATGCGCGTAATATTTGTTGTGTGTCTTATCGTATCCGTTATTATGATAACCGGTTATATAAAAGAAAAAAAAATGTATTCACTATAAAATCTCCGTTACCGCGACCGGCGTGGCTACCGAATCGTTCATTTCGTTAGTATAATAATATGTATTGACGAGTGTATATACATATATTTGTACAGGGTGATATTTCGCATTTGTTTCTACAGATACTTTATATTGGTATACATTTTTTTTATTTTTAAATACTCTCCCTTCCACCGGTAAACACGTATTCGAGTAGAGAATATATCCTGTCAATACATTTCGATACCTGCGTAAAACAATACAATATCGGATTTATCGTGTTCGGGTCATAACGGTTTAGAATTTAGACAAAAGGAGTAAGGAAACATAATTGATACAAATGACCATTTTTACACGATAAATTGATAACCAATAGGGGAATTAAAAAGTGTGGGGATTTTTTATGAAAGTCGAAAGTGTTTACTCGTTTAGGGTGGAAAAGTCGTACGGGTAAACAATTCTAAAACGGCGTTAAAAATAAGGTTTAAACGTTTTCATAATGATTGAAAAAAAAATAAAAAAAACGGAACAGAAATCGAATTCATTAAAAATTCTCCGAGAAAATCACCGGTTCGTGACTATTGGATCACCCTGTATATCATAAGTAGATCACATTATTATTATTATTATTATTATTATGTGATGCAGTTAGTATCGCCGTAGCTGGTAAATTATACAATATTTCGAATACATAATTAATACTATGCTAATGACTAGCTGGTTTTGAATTAACACATTGTTGATTTTACGCGAGGTGTAATATACGGGGATACATCTCACGAGTATGACGAAACAAACGAATGAGAAATCACCAGTGATCGATATTTGACTAAAAAAAAAAAAAAAAACAAATATGTACACAAGAATTTATTCAATACACGTGCAATATTAATCCGTTTAGTTTAACTGTTTCAAATTCTAAATAGATCGAGCAATAAGTATTGATTTTACTTATTACGATAAAATGACGCGTGTGTCCTTCTCTTTCGATCTGTCGACACAAGTTTAATTATACATAATTATATGTAAGGTTTACTCGGGAAATAAATGAAAAAAACGCAGTTATTGAGTTTTTGATCAGTTTGGTCCGTTTAGGTGTGTATTCTTTTGAAACTCCTAGTTAGGTTTTTTATTATTATTATTATTAAACAAGGATAATATTGTAATAAAAAATTATGCACGTAGAAATCAGAAATTCTGACTACGGGCGGACAGCTTATATATATCGGGTTCTATTTCCATATACGGGGCTCCGGTTCAGTGTTCACGGTCCAATTTCGGATTTTTAATCTGCATAAAAGTCCGAGTCAACAATATGGCTATAGCCCATTTGACACTTGTTTTTTTCTGAAACGGCTCTTATATATCGCAAATTCATTTCTGTTACATACAGACTTAGAACTATCTCAAAAGACGCACGGTTTAAAAATGTTGGAGTTTTAGTAGACCCAACTTAAATGTATCGATAATTAACAGTTCAATAATAATAATAATTAAAAAAAAAAATATATCATGCATCTTAAATGCATGTTATCGTTTAAACATTTCGTTGTTGAAGTTCAAGCTAAAAATTAGTCATTAAGATAAACTTTTTTTTTAAATATATTTCAGTTGTGTTATTTCATTAGATACAAATTTATCAATGAAAGTTACAAAGAACTCGTTTTTTTTTTTTTTTTTTTTTTCATGTTGAAGTACTTTCATGACTACGAGCTTTAATTTCCGTTTCGGATTGTATTTCGGTCAGTGTGTCAGTAATTTAAAACATGTTAGTCTGACATCACCAGTTAACGATATTGTATTTTATGATTTTTTTTTTACTTAAATTTTTAACAAATTGATTAAGAAATAACTACATAACTAATATTTAATTAATATCTCCGTTTTTAATGGCCCAAAATAAGTGAAGGTATACATTTTTTTTTTTTATAACCGGGTATTTTTTTGTTTTTCGTTAAGTATTAATTGTAAACACTCGTATACTATTATTATTATTATTATATGTAATTCTCTTTGAATGCACGAGTTAAAGTACCTTTACATATTATTTTCTTGCGTGGGAGAAAATAACGGCTTACTTTTATGAATTTTATGTCGAAATCTGTGTGCGTGTTCACGTGTACTCCTCGAAGGCATTTTTATTTCATTATTATTATTATTTTTTAAAAACCAGTAGCCGCTGTAAGATATTTCACTTGCGACACGATAACGGTATTATATATGATTATACTATATTAACGTAAACGCCCAACAGTGTACTCTGATTGGCAACTGGCATAATGTTAGCGTAAAATGGCCATAAATTATTGTGGATTAATATTGTGCGCAATTGTAAGAAATCGCAAAAAAGTCGTTTTCAGTCGGGATTGCCATAATAATATTACATCGAAACTGTATTAAAAAAATAAAATAAAATAAAAACTAGAAAAGAAAGTCGGGTAAATATATAAAGTAATTTAGTTTAAGTCCGTACGCAACGATAAATCATTTGCTAACGAAAACCGATTCTGAGCAAACTTCGGTTAGACGTGTTTTGGTGAAGTTGATAAATCTGAAAATATAAAACAAATTACAATTTTACCAGCACACAAATCGGAATAAAAAACTAGAAAATTGCTAACGACTACGAATAGCTATACAAAAATAATCCAGAATACACTGAAAATTGGGTTAACTCTATAGATAGTGCTGATATAAGTATTTAGTATTTCAAGTTTTTAGGCCATTTTTGACTGAAAAACGACGTAGACTTCTGCGAAAATATCACGTTTTATTCCAGATTAAATTAAGAAAATTACGAGACAAAGGCCTTCAACCCACCGACCAAACGAAATTCGCTACGGAAAAGTCGCAAACAGACAGAAAATAAAAGCACACGTCACGGTGAGACCGAAATACGTTCGCAGTGTAACAGGCTATTCATCAGTGTATCCCAATCGTAGACATAATTATTGAAGATGGTACACATTTACCCTCTTTGATATGCATTTTATCGAGTAAAAATACCACAGGAAATACTTACCTCCTGTGTGCATTTTTACCGACGACGTGTTCTTATGAGAATGACATAGGAGATTCTTACCCATAGTTGATTGCATTCATGGACGTTCACTTATTATTATACACGGGATTGAAATCCTATGACGCCGGCTGTATGCGCGGAATCTGAAAATAAGTGTTTATCGTCCGGGACAATAACTATGGTTCGCTTGTCGGCGAGTCGAATTAAACGCCCTGTATGCGTATGTTATTATACATGATATTATTGTAGGTCGTCGGCTGTTATATAATAAGCGCACTTGTCGTGACGAATAATATTGAAAACACGCGAACGTTGTAGGCGACTAAAAAATTAGATGGGCGGTTAAAATCGATAAATCGTATATTACGATTATATTATTAATTTCTGTGCGTTATACGTAAATTAAATTGCATAAAAAAAAAACGCGGCCACGCGTCGCGCTGTAGCGAAATGCCGAAACAATATATTATTATTATTTTACAATGCAGTTCGGTTTCAACCTAGTTTGCGGTGAAGGTTGTCTTTCGCGCTTTAAAAAAAAAAAAAAAAAATATATATACACTAATATTAATTTAAAACCGAAGGATTTTTCGTTTAATTATAATTATTTTCGACCACGTCGGGTCGCGCACACAGTTACATTTACGGATTCCGAACGGGTTTACTAAAACGCGAGCGCGCGCACGTGTTTTCCTCTTAAACGCTCGTTGGATTAATGAAAATGTCTCGATTTTTTCGCGCGGTATCCGATAAAAGACGCGACATTTCCGTCCCGGGTTACGTTTTTCGAAACATTTATTCTAATATTTCAACGGTTCGCCCGCGTAGATATTTTTTCGTTTTAGGGTTTTGTAGATTTCTGGGTTACCTTGACGATGATTTATCGTCGCGTACAGTGCCCGGGTACGTAACTAAATAACCCTGACAAGTGTATCCCGGCTACCGTTTCGGCTATTTGTTGAATACTGTTTGTATTATTTTAACTCGCGCGTCTCGGCACGGAATAATATAATACAATGGTTGTACCGAACTGGTATTTAATTGGTTTTATTAAATAAATGCCTCGTTATATCAATGTACTGCTTAATAGAGTATGATTAATCATTCGTTTGTGACAAGAATAATTATAAAAAAAAAAAAAACCCGACCGCGTACACGAGTGATCCAAAATGAAAGTTTGCCCCTCTGAACGGAACTATAAGGGGATGCTTGGAGGTCTTTAGCACCTACAAGTTTAAAATTAGCACCTCTCCCCCAACCCAAAAAAAAAAACGTCAAATAAATTTGTTCACCGTGATGACTTGATATTTTATCGATGTACCTTCATGAGTAGAACAAAATACAGATTTCCTACAGACAATCCATGTGTACAATATGAAAAATAATGTTAAAATAGTTATGATTGATTGCTATAAACAAAATCGTAAATGAAATGTGTAATTTCTTATTTTAAGAATCTTGTAAAGGAGTTTGTGGGAGCATAACCCCCATAGATTTTTGATGTGCCCATAATTATAGCATTTCCAAAGTTAGTAGTCTAGTTGCGCCTATCTTGTCCCTCTTCTCGTTAATTTTTAACTACGTCAGCGATCTAAACCTTTTCATATCAACGTATCATTTACACATTTTGAAGTTTTCCACGTCTTAAGCACAACGATTATTAGGCCTTTTTTTTTTTTACTTATCAAAAAAAAAAANATCATTTACACATTTTGAAGTTTTCCACGTCTTAAGCACTACGGTTATTAGGCCTTTTTTTTTTTTTACTTATCAAAAAAAAAAAAAAAAAAAATTGTGTATGTTATTTTACATGTATGGAACTTTTTGTTATTAAATCTACATAATTTTAAGCATTTAATATACAAAATTATAGTTATTATTTTTATTATTATTTATGGATTACACAGACATTATACCTAATACATTTTTTATACATTTGCTTATAAAGCATAGGTTAACCGGGAATCAACCTAACCTATTCGGGTAATGAATTCAGAAAGAGTTCACTGAAAATGACAAATTCGATGTAAGTAGATTTCAATAAAGCGAAAGAAAATCGAACATTTGATGGCTCGGGAGAAAGCTCGAAGTTATGCCTTCGTCAAAAATCGTATTGTAATTTGTTTGATATTTTTTTTTTTCGTATTTAATATTAGGTATTTTGTGTGTTTTTATAATATCATTAGTTGATTTAGGTTTTCAAACTGTCGATTGTGGAATTCGTAGGAACAAAAGAACTAGAAGGGAAATTTAACGTTTTTTTTTTTAAAAAAAAAAAATTCCAAGTCTATTTGTGTATTAAATTGAAATAAAAAATATCAGATTTCTAGATTTAAATTTGAATTAAATTTAAAGCAAAAAAAAAAAACAACTAAAATAAGTCATGTTTTTTAGGAGTTTTGTTGTAGGGTCGGGAATGTAGGATACGTATAAGTTTACAATTTAATAACCGTGTACACGAAAAACGATTCTAAACAAAGTTCGGCTTGATATATTATAAGAAATTGTAGTTAATTGGTAACTACAAAACAGACTGTCCGTATTTTTAACGAATTTTAACGTGAATATAAACTTAAATAGTTGCCGAAAATTAATTACAGAGTTTGTATCCGTATAAAATAAACCAAAACGAAAAACGTTTCAATTAGACAATAACCGTTATTACGTAAACGTTGCCGGTTTATTTCTTTATTAAAAAAAAAAACTACGAGAAAAATATAAAAATAAATGATCTCCTCGGCTGACCGAATAGACACCGTTTTATTGGAAACGAAAGCACTTGAAATGTTAATGATCGAATTTCTGGCATAAGAGTGGTTTCCGGACACGAACAGTTTTCAAAAAAAGTACTCTCTAAAACCATTAAATCGCCCAGAATCGCAAAGTCTCGATCACAGACGGTATACTTATTTTTGTATAATAATCTACATATGATATAGATTAGGTATATTTTGTACCTGTTTGTTTTGTATGAGTCATGTACTTAACTATGGTAGTGATTAGTGGATTCAAAATAATTTTTCATTGCGGTCTTTCGAGGGCTCTTACCAAATAAATTTATCGATTTCCACTGGTTATTTATTAAAAAAAAAAAAAAAAATTACGCGTCACGTTACTTGTACAAATGACTTCTTGACGTTGTCACGATACAATGAATTTTATTTTTTCGCTCAGTGCTTACAACGAAATGTCTATACGCGCAGTGGTTCAACAAGTATGCACACCCCATATTAACGATTGTACGTTCCAGACAATATTTTCAGCAATATACTCGTATGGCTATACACACGTTGACGAAGATGATCGCATCAATTCTCTGATGTATATCGTTGATCGTTTTGAAGTAGGTACTGTGATGCTTCACTAAATGAAAGGAAATGGTTGTTTATTTAGAAAAAAAAAATAATAATAATAATTTGCACAGCGATTTCGCATAATGTTTTCGCGAAATAATAACGACGGCACTCATTAAAACCTCGTCAAAAAAAACAAATTTGAATATTCGCACACTCGAGTCATCGTTATTGGTGTACATTCATTGTAATTGATTTCGATTGTAAAACACATATTTTGATTGTGCTCTATAGAGTATCGAATCTATTATATGCCCCGAAGATTGTATCAAATAAATTTAAATCATTGAGTCCGCGGATTAGTTCGATAATTTATCACAAATATTGCGAAAATAATATTAAGAATTGTTATTAACGCGTACACGAAACGGGCGTCGAGACATTAACCTATCAGGCCTACCCACTTTTCTCCAAAAATTAACACAATTTTAAAATCTAAAATTTGTATTAGTAGTCTTTCTTATTCAACAATTTGTGTTATTTTATCTGGCCGAAACAGAAAAATATTTCTAGCTACATCCCTAGAAACTACGATATTGTAGCTGTTTATAATTTATAATTTCACTGGCACTCGTCGCGATAAAAATCATATATTTTTTTTTTTTTTTTTTGCATACAATTTATACAAATAATATAATTTAATAACGTTTCTAACAAATTTAAATGCGCCTCTATTTACTCATTGATTATTAACACTTGACATGTTTACAAAGTCAACAGAGCAAATGAAGGCGCCTCGGGTCATACAACCCCGACAGTATTGCACGCATGAAATCAGTAACGTGTCAGAAGTCGAATTATAAAATCGTTTTTTTTTTTTTTTTTTCTTATTCTCCTCTTTACCGAAATCAAATATTTTACACGACTCCGGCAATGTACTCCGGCGTGAGTAACAAGAAAACGAGGACAACAAGGGTAAAGTCCCGAGGTTTCGAGGGAAACAACAACACATTTCAAATTGTTTTTCAAAATACAATTAAATATATATTTCAACAGTCGAATATAAATTAGTGAGTGGAAGAGGCGGAAACGTGTGTGAAGTGACGGAGAAGGCGCGAGCCCGTTCCCGTAACGTAGTGTTCGGCTTTTCGACGACGGCAAGCGAATAATAATCACTGCGGTGCGGGTCGGGCGGCGGCCGTCATTAGTATGCCTTTGTACGCCGGGGCGGCGTACGGGGGTTCGGGGTGCGCGGCCTTGTAGGCGGGCGCGGTGTAAGCGGGGGCCTTGTTGGACGGGGCGGCGTGTGCGCCTTACTTCTTGACGACGGCGTTGAAACCGTTGTAGCCGTCGGCGGTGTACTCGACGACGCCGCGTACCGAACCGTCGGGTTCGACCGGGCCGTGGGTGCCCTCGACGCGGCCGTTACCGTCGCCGGATTCGCACTGGCCGTGCGCGTCGTAGGCGGCACGGGTCGTTGACGGCGCATTCGAAGCCGTACGGGGCCGGGGACGTACGCGGTTTCGAGGGCGTAGGCCTTTGGCGCCGGGCGAGCGGCGGACAAACGCGCCGCATCGAAAGGCGATGTCATTGTTAACCTTTTTGTTGTTGGTGCGGAGTGTTTAGAAGAGGAAAACAAAATCACAAACAAACACAGAATTCGATTGCCTTTATCGTCTCTGAGAGAGAGAGAGATATTTCAACGGGCCGTAATTACGGCGGTTACGTCCGTACGCGACGGCGTCCGCGGTTTCGGCGATTACGCACGCGTCGGATAAAATCTCGGTTCTTCCACCGTTTCCGGCCGTTTCGCCGTAGCGGCAAAAGCCAATTTTGCAGACCGTATCGCGTAACGACAGCGGTAGGGCGGTATCGGAACGGCAACAGTTACAACCGAGAAACCACGGCGCGCGGGTTGATTTTCGGCCGCGCGTAACGGTGACCGCATTGCGAACGCGATTGTCCGCCGTCGCGTCGAGCGCGCGCAGCGTTCGCGTCGGCCGCGAACCGCCGCCGCCGCCGCTGTAGCCGGCGATTTCGTCGTTTCCGTCGTCAATCGCCGACGTCGCGATCAATCGGAACCGTACGACCGATACTACTGTCGTTATTCGTGTCGTGCGTAATGCGCGCGAATCGCGTGCAAGACCGTTCGCATCGTGCCTGTCGGTCTTCTTTCTCCCGGGGTTTCGCACGCGCCGACGCGTAAATCGTTCGCGTATAAAAAAAACAATAAAAAACGAAAACATACAAATAATAATATCATAACGCACGCGGCGAACGGTACGCCGTCGAGCACGTGCATATATGTATACGGTCGGCGTGGAGTTTTTAAATGTGGTTTCGGTTTTTTTTTTTTTTCCGTTCTAAGCCCGGGGCATTGCGGCTCGACAATCAAAACGATGTTACGCGATTAAAAAACGACCGTAAAAACACACGGGTCGTTTTTAAAAAAATACACGGTCGGCGGTCCGTCGTCCGCGCACGGACGAAACGTCGGCCGAAATCACGAGGGCGGTTGTGTTTTTTTTTCTACCAGCGATGGATTCGCTTGGATTTTTAAATGTAGCATCTTTACTGAGAGGAAATCTGCCCGGGGTCGTACTTTAAAAAGTTGATTTTTTTTTTTTTTTTTTGTTTTCCACAATCAATGAGAAAACAGGGAAAAAACGTGGTAAAAGCGGGAAAACGGGGACAATAATAAAACGAATAATATTAAAGAAAATATATAATACATACGTAATTATTTTATCATTATAGCCCATATAGATTGAAGAAAATGAAACAGTATTAATCTGCTCAGAATCGTTTTTCCTCGGCATAGATTAATCGTTGTGTTCAGATACAGATAAAATTCTCTTCTCTATCCTATATTTTCAAATTTTCGTCTACAACAATGGCCCACTAATCGTGCGAAGTATGTATTTTTTATATAGATTTTAAAATGCCAAATATTTAGAATAAATCTGCCGACTCCATATAGCCATTGTTTCGGGGGGGGGGGGCTATCTCATTATCCTATACATAGATTCGTGAGTGGCTCCATGTAGAATCTTACCGGAGTGTAAAATATTATAAAGATCCGGGGTGGCTCGTATCATCGCCTCTTTCACATTTTATCGTAAACATTCATTACGTTTGGACATTTTTTTTTCTCGTCAGGTTTTATGTCCGGACCCTCCGAAATAAATTGCTGGCCACGTGGCTGACGTTCATAATAATAATATACATGTTATTCTATTATCAATATTAATTTGTTTATTAGTCGTTACGCTCTTATTCACCCTTGTTTTGAATGTTTATGCATTATTTATACGCTATACTGAAACGTAACTGCACCCTCAGGAACGTGCGATATTACGCAATATTAAAACAATAATTTCAGATATCGATCGTTTTTGTCAATACCTGTATTATTGTTATACGATAGTGTTCGAATAATTATTATCCGCGTGCATACGGCCGTCGCCAGATAACTCGGCACGTTTCGATCGCCACGGACTCAGTGGCTCGAGAACGTTTTACGTTGTCCTGCCGATACGCCTATCGTTAACACTTGTCGTATATTTTATTTAACAACGGATATCGTATCGGTTGGAGTCATTTGAAATAAAATGATTGGGTTTGGGTAGCAAACGTATTGTGCAACGTTTTTAGTTCAATATGCGATCTAATGAATTGAGTGAGAAAACAGTGGATCGGTAAGTCCTGCAGTCCTACTAGGTCGTGTTGTCACATTAGGTAGAAATGTGTTAAGTAACCAGTCGTGCGATTTTCGTACGTTCAAATTCAACATAGCCCATATAAGTATAATATTATGTCAGTGTGATCATATGATGAAAAACGTAATTTTAATTTTTTACGCTCTATGAAGTTACAAGAAATTTTGCTTTCATCAAAAAACGCGAAGAGACCTTTTTTTTATTGCTTTTTGTTTCAACATGCCTGCGAAAATCAATACTTTTATTGATTAAATTTGAATAGAAATTAAGTGCCTTACATATGATAATTATTAACGGAAGTACGACGATATATCGCCAAGAAAAAGAAAAAGAATTATAATTATGGCATTTTATTCAATTCGATTTCGAACCTAGTTTGGGAAACAATATTTCTACACGGTAAATGCTGCCAACGTCGCCACTACAGCCGTGCCAAGTTGTCTGGCGATGACTGAAAATAATATCGTTTATCATATTATTTTTGCAAAACGGTCGATAACGTATTACGAATAATATTTTTGACCTATAATGCTCGGACAATATATTTCTCGTGCACGTGATATTCGAAGTGTGTAACTTCCTCCTACGCATGTTCGTTAATTTTGTAGCCGATAAAAGCTATTAGGTTTACGAAGACGTGTGCGGCGTTTACGTTCGGAAAGTCTTCTCCGGTCGTGCAAATGCACCATTCGCATTGCCGATCTGTACAACAAACTAGTTCCGAGCACCAAATCCGGATTTACGAAAAAAGACGCGGCAGTCCGTTCAATCAGGATTGAAAAGTTCCGATCCGGATCACGAGTATCGATTCGGACTGGTCGAAGTATTTCTCGGCACTGCGGCGTGCACCCGCAACGCGTTATAAAATCGAATTATGCGCCACTGAGTGTACACTCGGTCACGTTATTATTCATTATTAAAATAACGCATGCAGGTCTATAGCACGGCTTCGGCGCTGCCTGCGATTAATTATGCCTAAAACGAACATGCGCAGTAAAATACGGCACGGTCGTAGATTTCCCGACGAGATAACAATATAATAATGTACGCAGTGACAAAGACATCACGTAACATCCCGGTGGGAATATTGGATAATTACAACGGCTATTTCATACGGAGAATACTAATAATAATACGCCACTGCAATGGGCCGCGGCGTAATATAGGTACCGGGTCTCGTTTTCAGAAGCAATACGTTCGTCCCTTATCGCGGCCTCGTTACTTGTGAAACATTAGTTCCGTAATAAATTAGATATTTTCACCGAGGCTGCAGAATGGACGAAAATATTAATTCCATTGAGTTAGATTCGCTTGAAAGATATGTAGTCAACGAGTTGAACCGAATAAATAGTTAATCGCTGTGTATTCATATCGATTGACAGTTAATTTGAAACTGTAATTTTTTTGTAAAATTCGTATTATTTCCATAGTGAAATCGATTAAACCGGGAGTTTTTCGTTTGTTTTTTTCAAAGTTAGGGTAATTAATCAACGAGGGGATTATTATTCCGGAAATATCAAATTACCCATGCCCATTTATTTTTCAACTCTAAACTGTACCCAATCAACTTGATGTAATTTAAATTTAATCAGTAATGTAAAAAAAAAAAAATCAAAAGGTTAAATGTTTAAAGCCAAGTAAAAGTTAAAATCCACCTAATTGTTAAACTCTTTATCATGTAGTCTCGATTTTGATTATAGTATCTTTCAAACGGATATATTATTTTAGGCACCGGTGTAAAAACAAAAATTGATTACGTTCATCTATATTTGGTGTATATACTGTCCGACAGAGCGCGCAATATATCGTCAGTCAAACATTATTATATTATTATTGTTATTATAATCTGTGATCGAATCAAATATCCTCGTCGTTGTCGTAGTCGTCGGTCTGGAAAAGCGGAAATAATGCGTAGGTATAGAGAATATATTGTATTTTGGCGTTCTGATTGTATTGACGGTCCCAAAGAAAATACGTAGTAGACGTTACAATAATACCAATAATAATATTTCTGTTTGAACGCGGCGGTTGAAAGCCGAGAAGGTAAAAAAAAAAAAAACACCGTACCGCAAATAGGTTCGAGTTTTATTTCCATTATACTATACACATAAGGTATAGGTGTTTTATACGATTCGATATCGTTTTAAAATATTAAATACGCTGTTTGTTGTCGTGATCGATGCATCCGACGACGGACTGATAGTGATAATATTTACCGGCGTGTCGGTTATCCGACGTCGGAATGCGTCGTTGGGACAAAGGAAACGTACGGCCGCGGGTACCCGTGACAGCGACTTTTCCGAACCTACGCGTGGTCACACGATATCCGCGCATATTTCTATTAAACTAACGAGGCCGCGGTCGGAAAGAGAAATGTCAACAGCCTAGACTGTGCCGAGAAAAAAAATGTGAAATTACAAGGCCATAAAATACGATAGTTCGATACCATTTTTCGGTGGGCGGGGGAGCAGTTAGGATGATCTTCATTCTTATATTAAGCAATATAAATCCCACCAATCATTTTAGTGAAGCGTCGGATGGAGTTTTTGGGAGCGAGCTAAACCCCTCTAGTCTAGTCCTCACCGATCTCCACCCAGAGACGCGTCGAAGATTTGTTTGTATATCTTTTAATTTAAACTCGGAAAGTTGCGTATAGTTCACCCTCTCTCCCCCCCCCCTCCGAAATTTCATGAAAACTATGATGAAAGTAGATTTTTAAAGAGCCTCAAAAGTGGTTTCTGTCAACGAGGAAGATGAATGAGATTTTAGTTTTATTTATTGTTATTATTGTCATTTATATAATTTTTTTTTTTTTTTGAGATTTTCCTGCTTTTAGAAAATTATAACTAATACGGCGATGTTACAATAATTATGAAACATAAAAGAATAAATTTAAAATATAAAAGGCTAAAAATGAATGTTATAAAACATTGATATTTTTAATGAAAACTAAAACATCCTACAATTGAAAGTATGGAAATTTCTTCGTTATAAGAGTATGAGAAAGTACAAACGTAATCTTTCTCCCCTCCCCCCAAATATTTCTTTTTAATCACACCTCAATATACCTACTTTTGTAGACGCAACACAAAATTATTAAGTAAATACGTATGCAGAGAGCAATAATTATATCACTTACTACTTACATTTACGGAACACGAACATACAGGAGAAAATTATAATTTTGATTGGCCCAAATAGGGGGGGGGGTTCTCAAGCCCCGACCCCCAGATTTTAACCGTAACCCCTCTGTTACTTCGGCACGTATCTGAGAACGTTCCCTATCACTAAATTGTTCGGTATTTTTTTTTACTTCAAAACCATATTTCATGGCCAATGTCCACTTAACGACCTTGACCTTCGAGATTACGCGCGGACCGAAGAACGTATTGCATATTTTATACTACATATTATGACCGGGCTTCAATTTATTTTCTTTGACAATTTTTTTTTTTCGACGTTTAAACACGATTTTGACCGAAATATTTTCTCAAATCGAAAAAAGAGATTTATAGTGCACTATAATACAGTTGGAAGCTGGACCAATTTCGTGCTGTTGGTTTTAAGTGAATTACCAAACTCAAAGGCAAGAACACTATCTAATAAGCAACGTTGGCGATATTTTTTCGATATTTCAATTTTTCCGCGAGTTCTGACAAGTGTTATTAATTTTCGGAATTTCACATACTCGCGTCTCTTTAAAAAATTTAAATATCGCCGACGTTGCACGGATATAATCTTTAAGTTTGATAATAAGTCAATTCACTCTTAAATTAAAAACGACAGCACATTATTGTCTCATATTAATTCCATATTTGGTATGCCATACGTTTGTGTGGCGTATTTATAGGAGAGATTAAAGACGCATATTCTCCCTCCCGTCTTGACCTTTTTTGAGTATCCATTACTCATATAATAAATCAAAAAAAAACCTAAAACCTAACCAGACATTTTCTTAATTAAAACGAAATTTATAACCAAACGACTTATAATATTATGAATTAAGGAGCGGTGTCTAGAAAAATTATCGATGAGGAATAAAAAGAAGCTAAATCCGTCCGGTGCGCGTTCGCCCGTACATTTATTTTAAAAACATTGAATTACAGAATTTTGAAAATGGCGTACCTGTTACTATAGCGCCCGGTGTGTAGTCACCTCTCGCACCCACAAAGGTGTGGCCCTGATTAGGAGATTAGATTAGTAGTTGAACAGTGAACTGATTAATGTCAATAACTATCTAGGTATACGTGTCAATATTTGAATTCAACGATCATTTTAGAGCGGAATCAATTTTAAATTGCTTTAAAAGTTCTATAAATTATTAAAAATTGATTTTTTTTTTAACCTTATTAATACGCGTGATATAATACGGGGCGTTTTTTCAAATTCATTATTCCTCGGCTCTCGGCGAAATCCTAAATACGCCACTGTAAGTCGTAACTCGTGTGTGATTACGCTATGAACGTAAAACTGTAACATACAATACGTAATTACGGTACGATACGCTCTGTGATACGCGAGCCGTATTTTTCGACTTTATGTTCTAAACTACGGACGCCGATCGTATTATAACCGGTTCGACGTATCGTATTAGGAATATATTAATTTTGGAGGGACGTCCGCGCGATACTCGCTCACGTTTTGGGCGGGTCGCGAAGAACAGGTCGTCCGTTATAAATACCGTGTCCATGGCCCGGACCGTCACCAGTGTTCGACTTCGTGTTTCGGCAGTACACCAAATTATCCGCTCGACCCGTCCGAAAGATACCGAAATGGCAGCTAAGGTAAGACAATCGCAATTTTAACATTATGTTTCCCGTGAAAACGTGAAAACGCGAACACGATTTCAAAAACGATTACACGGCAATGATACCAACCACGTTTTTCCGCAGATGATCATTCTCGCCGCGTGCGTGTCCGCCGCCCTCGCCCAATACGCCGCCCCGGCCTACGAACCCGCGTACCCGGCTTACCCGGCGCCCAAGGCCTACGCCGCCGAGCCCACTTACGCCCCGGCCCCGTACAGCTTCGAG